AACTACTAGAAATCTCTGTAGCAGGCTCGAACATGCAGTGCTCTGCGTGCTAAAAAATTGTAATTAGGGTTTTATAAGATCATGCAGGGGTCTCTTTAAGAAGAGGGAAGAAAAAAGGACATAAGATTGCGATCTTGACTAATTTAGTTCTTATGGTTCAAAGGGTAAACCCTCAAACGAATGCAAGATATATGTAAGACGTGTACCTTTCTGGCTCACTTTTCTCTCTAAAAGTGAAGCTGTAACAGACAGAAGTATAAACACTGCAATTTATAATAGTTAATTTCCTCTAATCAGAACAGATAAAAATCACTTCTGACATTTGGGGAGGAGCGGAGGAAGGGAGGTCACGCTGAATGGCTGCTTCTGCATAAAGATGTAGAGCTATATAGTACAAAGTTGAATATCTTCCGAGGATCAACCACCTTTACCTTGTGTGTTTTCTGCAGTGCTGAAGTTGGTATTAGTACTTCTCGTATCCATGCACGAGGACCAGTGGAAATTGAAGGACTCTTCAGTACAAAGGGGTTACTGAGAGGAGACAATCCTGTTGTTTCTGACTTCTCAGAGCATGGGAGCATGAAGTGTCCTCATGAGAGCCTACTTCTCCCTCAGGGAAATACCAACTGAGAACATTGTAAGAAAATGCAGGGGTAAAATGTTTATTGAAGACGTTCGGGCTTCAGGGTGCTTCCTGCAGGGAGAGATTTATTTTTCATCTCCGGGAGCATTGTTTGTCACTGTGCAGTACAATGAATATGAAGTGATCCTACCTGTGACACACATTATTTGTTGCTGTCTGTTGCTGTTTCCTTAGATAGTATCTGCGAACTGACCTTGGTTTTGCCAGAGGGGTTTCTTCAAAACGTACAGATACCATAAGGAGAAGTTTAAACATCTGCCAGCAAAGATGCCTGGTGGTAGAGTGTAAGTTTTTTTCCCTGTCTTTACTTTGAATATCTGTCTTGGTGAACAAACTTGGTAGCTTTTCTTTGGTCGTGTGGTCATGGCAGCCCTTGAAAGCTCTAAAGCTTTAAGACACTTACTGTCTTTGTTTGATCGCTCTGCAATTCCTATGCATTTGGAACACGTATTTCATTAATGTTTTGACCAAGCAACCTTTTTTATCTAAATTCTCTGTATTTTTGACAACTGTAGATAAATAGCACAACTGTGTACAGTGTGAATATGTCTAACAGACATTTATTTCTCGTGGGTTTTATATGAAATGTAATCCCTCTACTTTGAAGTTTAAAATAAGCCCTGAATAAATGCTTCCTTTTGCGTACTGGAAGAAGTGAACTCACATGTGCATGCTGCAGCCGGGGGCTCAGTGCAGCCCTCCATAGGTTAAGGTGGTTGGAGCGTCAAGGTGGATGGGGAGGGAGTGGAATGGTGCAAATGTTATTGGCTACGGAGTGTTTCTCACAAAACACAGAAGAGAGGCCTTCTGGAAGGGGCTCTAAACATAAAGGAAGAGGAACGAGTGACAAATTAGATGCAGTGCAATAGTTCACATAGTGGGACTCTTCGTCTTCTCATGAAGAAACGGCATGAATGTGACCAGCAACATACACAAGGAAGAGGGATTAACAGGGGGCCAGAAGAGTCACAGATCCCTGCCTGCAAACGCATGGATCTGAAGTTCGGTATAGCAGCTCCTGTGTGGACTTTTAGAAGGCTTTCCCTTAGAAAGGATAGGTGAGAAGCTAGTAACTTCTGATGGAGGATCTAAATGATGTGCAACAAAGGCTGGAAATTTAGGAATTTGGTATATAACACATGAAAATCACCAGGAACACCAACATAAGATATCAAAAAACGTCAGTACTAAACTGTGGAAAGCCTTGAAGGACAAGAGTCAGATGCAGAAGCGGGGGGAATGATCATGGGGCAGATGTGCCAAAATTAATGAGAAAGGAAAACAATTCCATCAGTTGTACTCTGAACTGATTTTTGAAAGACAAAATGATTAGAACAAGCATTGAAGGGCAGCACATTAACAATATTATACAGAAAGACACCTGAATGTGCTAACACAATATAGACATGAATAACTGGAAAACTGAAGTTTGTTAATAAGGAAGGAAGAAGAGTTTAGGGAAGGACAAACACATAAATCCTGAATTGCTGGAACCTGATATCAACAAGAGATAGCAGAATATCCAAGCTAGAAGACCAACACAGGTTCAAACTGAGCAGAAAAAATGCAGTTTAATAGTATATGCTTTAGATTGAGCTTTTAATACATTATTTAACTTTTTGACACACAACTTTTCCTGGTATCTCACAGTGATGAAAATCCACCTTCTTTACTGCCATAAAAAATCCACTGTAAAAGTGGAAAAGTTTTAGCTTCTGTGGCTTTTACAGATTCTTACAGCACACATATATTCACATGTGCACTCTTCCGAATATCAGTATTTAACCTGCATGCTTGCAAGCAGCTCTAACTTCCAAATTGTACATATGAAAACCAATGGAAGGCACTCTCCTGAATATCATTTCATAAGTCTAGTAGAAAATAATGCCCATACAGATGCAAAATCCCCATATAGACTAAATGGTGACGCAGGCAGTTAACAGTATAGTCTGCCATTCCTGCCATTTGTTAATGCTCTCAGTGACACTGCACACTACACTGCCTGTGTTGCTAACATGCGTATGTGTTAGCTGCCCTCAGAGTTTGTAACTTCCATCGATTATCTTGAGCTTCTTTTAGCAGAAAGGCCTTTCAAAAGATTTTTGCTAGAGCAGTTTTAAGTACTGTAGAGCGGTGGCTAGAATACTGTCACTACTATCTTTGCTGGGCATAAATAAATAAAAGATTTATGTATAAATAAAAGACTTCTCTAAAATTAACATTTTAATAACCACTTATTTCTAATACTTCAAATATCAACACACAAATAGAGAGACTAATGTGCTAAACTTTTGAAATTGTAAGATGCTACCAAGTGTATGGATGTTACTCCCTCTACTGGAAGAAGTCCATACAGTTATTCTTCGTACTGCAATTGCCCGCCTACAAAGTACACACATACCATTTTTGTCTCAAAATTTATTTTTTTATCATTTATGATTCAGCTAAGCTACATAAAATGTCTGTCTACGACGCATTCATTTGCTTAACCCAAGACTAATAGATCTCAACTTTGGAAAAAAAAATTGAATGGCAAAGGTGAAGGCACATGTCTGACTGGTGCACAACCCAGTAAAAATACCACACAAAAACATAACTTTCTTGAAACCAAGAGTGTTACTCATATCTCACAACATGACATCCTTTCACCGTGCTCAACTAGCCTTCCTGACAGGCAGACAGAAGGTTTTCTTCTCCCTTCCCTGCCTCTTCCCAGTAGTTACCTGCTTGCAGGAGGCAGCATTCAAAGTGCAATCCTGCTTTATCATGCAGAGTCATGCTTTAGGTAGCCCCTATGTGGGCACATGAAAAGGACATTATTCCTGAGGCCTATGCAGGAAATAATGGATTTCTAAACTCTTTCATTAAGCAAAACAGCCATACTTTCTCCCATGGGATCACCCCTGCTATAGCCCATTTGATGAACTCTTGAAGGCATTTTGATGGTGACATATATAGTCTTGAACTTTCTATTATAAAAATTCTAAGAACCTCTTTGCTATTTAATATGACCTTGGAGCTTACATAAACAGCCATGCATTAGTCCAAGATACCTGTGCAATTACAAAAATTAAACCCAAAATATATTGACAGCATTCCCTCAAAAAGGCAATGCAGTAACTCTACAATGTCATCAACTTAATTCGAAAATATCATGACCAGGAACACAATTTGTTTTGCAGTAAGGAGGCTATTGCTAATTATGTATTACAAGATGGAGAAAATTTTTAGGAGTTCTGAGAATTCGAAATCTCAGAAACCCATAGTATAAAGGTGTGCGTTAAAGTCTAATGGCTCTGCTACAGCCTTTGCACTCCTAGTTATCTTCTTTATCTAATCTCTGTATTTCTAACTTTTGATTCTTTTGGCAACCTTTTCTGTATTCAGTACTTATTTTGGTTTGACTAATGCATTAGAAAGTTAACACCTTAAGCGTGCTGTAAAAATTCCACCAGGTGGCACCTAAAGACAGCATGGCCCACGGCTTTAGTATTAGCAGCACAGTTTGTACTGGAAGGTAATAAAAGGAACCTTTTCTCTATGTCATGATTTTAGCATCTAGCATACAAAACCATGAACCACTGTGATTCACTAATACACGTTTTAAGAAAATAGAAATGTTTTTAGAATAGAAATAGAAGTGTTCATAAGTTTTATATTTGATACCAAACAATGAAAGAAAGCAATGAATAAACTAAACAAATTTAAGATTGGGCTTTAAAATCACAAGAACCTTACTGGTTTTCTAGCACCCCACCTCGTTCATCTGTATGTATACACTTACACCTTGATATACTTGTGTTTTGTTTTTTCATAAGGAAAGCTAAGCAATAACATGTTACATATTTACATTTAATTTTTACAGAGGTGGTGAAGCAATGGTGTACTTCACAGTGTAACAGTAAGACAACAGTTACTATAAAATGTTGACCATGGTGATAGAAAAGGCTTAGAGAAAACAGAAGTCCAAATCCAATTATTTGAACTGTTACTAATTTAAAAGTATGATAATATTACCCCAAAGACAGAGTGAATTTATCAATAAAAGGGATCTAAACTAGATTTGCCTGCAAATAGCATAAACTGACTGAATTCAAATACATCAGAATCATGTCTGTTAAAGTATTTGTTTGTTTCATGCTCACAGATAAACAGAAACTTACAATAGTTTCTTCAACAGAAACTTACAATAGGCTAGCTAAGTGGAAGCACTGGGCCTCCTGCTGGTTCTAAAAGTAAAACTCCTAGCAAATTCTGCATAAGCACTGTTTTGCTTTCAAATGCTACTCACAAAGACCTGAATAAGGAAGGGTTTTTGACTTTTAGTGTACACCCCGGCCCCCAAAAAGACACTTACAGTTACTATGTCCATTTAATGCTTGAATTCTCTCCTCACGTTGTCACACAGAATCAACTATATGGCTGGTTCTTCTCTAAGCCACTAAGAATGGAAAAATACATGTTATCAGGCTGATTTCAAATATGCATGTTTCATTCATAAAACACACAACCTGTACCTGTACCTATGTTGTACTGGTACTGACACATTACTGGTGTAAGCAAACTGTATATATCACAATCCATTTTGCCTCTAATAGCACATTCCCTAACCAGTGCACGTGAACATAAAATGCTGAATGACTTCTGCCACTCTCCCTGCTCCTACAGCTTCTCAAGGCACTGACTGTGCCTCTCGTGATAGCTGAGGTCCACAGATCTACTAAATTTCACAAGCAAACAAACCAAACAGCAACAAACCAGCACTGCTCACCTCAGTATCAGCTCACAGGACAGTGCGCTGCACCTAAGTGCATGAAGCGTGCTTCTAGGAAAAGGCAGTACCAAGCTGCCCGTTTTATGAGAGAAAAGCTTTATAAACACAATTCACTCCAGGGCATGTAGCAAGCCCTCATGGTTGTGTATTGAAGCCTGCTCAGGCCTGCATTAGCGTTGCAGTGGGATTTTTCACTTCATTTTGAGTAAATTTACTGCTCGGAGGTAACCTCCACAGCCCCTACAGTCACCAGCTGGCTGCCAACAGCGCTGGTACAGCACCTCGCTTATTAGGATTGACCAAAACGCCTCAAACTGCCTCAAAATCCACCTGGAAGCCCTGAGGCGGAGGGTCCCTGGAGCGCGGCTGCCTCCGGGCCAACCGCCGTTGGCGGCCTTAGCCGGGCGGCGCCATGAGCGAGCAGCCCCCGCCGCGGCCCCTCTTCTTCCCCCCCTTCCACGACCGCCCCGAAACCGGTGCTTCCCCGGCGGAAAGCGGCGACCCTCGGAAGCTGCTGGCGGCCGCCTGCGGGCCCTGGCAGCCCCCGGTGGCCGCCGCGGCTCCCCGCTGGCCCGCGGGGCTGGCGCCCATCGCCTACGAGCCGCTGCGCTTCTTCTGCCCCGCGGCGGCGGCGGCGGCGGCGGCGGAGGAGCGGCGGCCCGGGGAGCAGCCGCAGCTGGAGGGCGAGATCTGCGAGCTGGGCATCCGCATCAAGGAGCTGGAGCTGCTGGCGCTGCTCGGGGACGGCTTCGACCCGCAGCAGTGTGCGTGCCCCGCAGGGCTTACGGAGGGTGTTGAAGGCAGGACGAGGGGCTCGGCCTTTGGCCAAGGCTGCCGGTCCCAACACTCGCCCAACTGCGAGGGTTGCAGGAGCCCAGGGGCTGGAAGAAGACCTCAAAGCAATCGTGATTCATAGTTCGCATGAGTTACTTTCCACAACAGCAAATTAACCGTTTGGTTTTTTCCTTTGTCATACCAATACCTACCAGTTTAACACCTGTTATTTCCAATACATGTAAGAAACTAGTTTACAGGTATTTGCTAACCAAGAAACGCTATGGCAAGTTACTAGCTTACTCAACAAATTATTTCTTAAAAGTCTTGTAAACTATTAACGATAACGTTAATGACAAATTATGTTTCGTTCCTGTTTAGATAAACTTCTGAAGGCACTGAAAGAAGAAAAGATACAAGGCATGAAAGCAAGGCAGAAACTGAAGAAACAGCCACCATGTTGAAGATTATTTGGGCTGGATGTTCTGTCACTTTGGAGTATTATTTTAATGGATCTTCCCAATAATTTTTCTACTCATTACATGTTATTCTCTTACTAAATTAAAAAAATACAGTATATTGTTGACTTTTTTTGTATGTCATATCTCTGGTACTAAATACCAATAATGTTGGTATGTATTTTAACATTTCCTTCTCCAAGTACTATAGACAAACAGGGTGGATAGTATTTTCTTCAAAAACACTAAGAAATTAATACTGATATCAGGATTCCCACCAGTCCAGCAATGAGGTTCAGGATACGGGTAGCAGCAAAACAGTAATTCCAATATAAAATACGTTTGTATTTTGTTATTAATTACAAGTAAGTGCAACTGAGAGTAAATAGATGTGCTTAGAAGCCCCATGCCTCTAAGGGAGCTTTAGGAAACTATCTTCATGATAGCATAAAAATCTGTTATAAACAAGCACAGCTTATTGTCTTAAGTGTACCACCAAAGTGTTGAAGTTATGGCTTAAGTTAGTTTTTAACAGAACAGTTGTAAAACATGGAATTTCAACTAACATTTTACTATTATTTTAGGATGAATGATGCTTAGGCTGAAGTCTGAGGCAGTTTTAGGAATGACAACATCCTTATGTTTGGAAGGATTGAAGAGAAAATGGGCAGAGACAGCAATAACAGACTAAAGATCTGGAGAGCATCTGCCATTAAAAAAGCAATGCCACGTACAGCACTGAGAAGAAGTAAACAGGCTTATCAGACTGATAATGGGTTTTGGTAGATAATTGCTTTTTCTTGTTCTAATTCAAGAGCAGTAGGTGGCAGTGTGGAATAATGGTGAATAGTTACCACCCCTGAAGCTATCATATTTTGACAACTTTTTTTTAAAAAAAGAACAGTATTTCAATCTTTTTTTTTTTTTAAATTGCATTAGAGCTGCTCAACTGTGAAGCATTTTAGCACGATACAATATCAAAATATTATTTCCTATTACTGCTTATTCCCAGCATTGAATCTTCCACTGTCTTATTCTTTCCAGATAGATTTTGATCTATCCCACAGAGGGTTTATATTAAAAAATAAGAAAAAAAAATATTAAAAATCCAGTTTATAACTTCCATTTTTCAATCGCCAAACTATAATAATCACATTTTATCAGAAAAGCTAGGAAATCTTAAACAGAATCATACCATCCACAATTGCCATTGTCATCCTGGGGTCTCTACCAATATGTCAATGCACAGTTTCAGCTGCTAATCAATATGCTTTTTAATGAAACAAAGCAATAATTTTCAGACCCACCAGTCTGAAATGTGCTGGATGGAGCTGGGATCTCTTTGAAATGTGCTGGATCCTGACAGTGCAGCTGTGCTCAAGGCACAGTGCCCCAGGGCCCCATGGTGGGCTGTGGTGTACAGGGCTGGGGTGGTGTGACAAGGACAGGTCTGGGCCAATGTTGTGTGCCACGCAGGGTGAGGTGAGGAACCAGGTCCAGGAAGCCCAGGGACAGGACTGGTTACAAGATCACCGCTAACACAGGTCCACAGAGGGCCTCACCCAGGCAGCCCCACAACCTAGAAACCCTGCCACAGGCCTGGGCCTACCTGCCCCAGGGGCTCCAAGGCAACCTGGACAGCAAATCCTTGGTTTCTATCCCCAGGGAGCTTGGTCAGGGCACTTCCAGAATCATAGAGTTCATCACAGAATGGTTTGGGTTAGAAGGGACCTTAAAGATCATCTAATTCCAACGCCCCTGCTGTGGGACACCTCCCACCAGATCAGGTTGCCCAAAGCCCCATCCAACCTGGCCTCGAACACTTCCAGGGATGGGGCATCCACAGCTTCTCTGGGCAACCTGTTCCAGGGCCTCGCTGCCCTCAGAGTGAAGAATTTTTCCTTATATCTAATCTGAATCTACCCTTTTGCAGTTTAAAGCCATTCCAGGCTGAACAACCCCAACTCCCTCAGTCCTCTCTTCACAGGAGGGGTGCTCTCAATTAATTTCCCACCCAGCCTGTAGTCATGCTTGGGATTCCTCCAGCCTGAATGGAGGACCTTACACTTGGCCTTGTTGTACCTCATGAGGCTTGCACAGGCACACCTGTGGGCCTGTCCAGGTCCCTCTGGATTGCAGCTTTAGGTCTGGACAGCACACGGTTAACCTGGATGGCGCCCACAGAAGACAGCTGGTGTGTTTGTATTTCTTATTTTTTACATCCCAGCACATCACACCCTCAAAAATCAAGACCTACAGGCAGCCTCGAGGGCAAGCTTTTCTCAGCTTTTCTGTTAGTCTGTTCCGTGTGTTTAGTTTGATAATTTTGGGGTGGAGAAATTCTCACATTCCACAGAAACAGCATAACCACAGGTCATCTCCCTTTCCATCCTTGTCTGAGAGGCTGAGTCAGTAAATATATAAAAAGATCTAGGTACCTAAAGATAGTTACCAAAATGCCTTGGAAACCTGGGCTAAGGTGTTTTACAACCCATCTGTGGAATGAGGATAAAAAGTCTCTCAAAGAGCTCTGATAAATGTATAAACAGATACTGCAGTGATTGATTGCAATGAGAAACAGCTCAGTATTAGTCCGCAATTAAAAACAACAAAATGAGCTTGGACAGGTGAAAAGGGCCAACACATGGCAGTCTTCAAAGGTTTTGCACAGAAGACCTTTTAAATCAGGTTCAGCAGCAGAGGAGCTGTCTTTACGTTTTCAAATCTCCAGAATAATTTCACTCCTAAACCATGCTAACTCTCCCGTAATTATGGCAATGGGCTAAATGGATTTCCATTCTGTATTACCACTGCCCCCTATTATATCCCCTCACCTTATAACCACTCTTTCACTTTTCATACAGCCTTCACCAGCCACTATTCATGCAGGTTTTCTTGGCTCAAACTGAACTGTTTTCCCCAGCATGCAATTTAAATTTTAGTCCACCTATTGTACAGTTTCTGTCATATAGCTATTATGTAAAAAAAAACACTTCATGTTTAATTATAAGGGGATAACTCAAGGAATAACATCAGTTAATATGTAATCTCTGTTAAAATTACCTGGGAACATCTATCTACTGAAAATCATTAGTTTTGTGTGCCAAAACACGGCAGAAGGGTTTACCTTGGCCAGCTTCAGCCACAGCATTGTGCTATCAGGGTGCTTTGGTCAAAGTCCTTTTACTAAAGCATCTCAGTGTTCCAAGAAGGTCATTGAAGGATGATGGCTTCACTAGAAAGCCAATTTGGCCTTTTCTCTGTGAAGTAGCACTTACGAAAATAACTTAGAGAAACACAGAAAATTCCATGAAGTGTTTCTGCCTGAAATTAATCAGTCTGCAATTTCAGTTGGAAATATTTACCACGTTCATGTGCATGAATTTAGAGAGAATAATAAGGTTGTATTAATAGCCCAAGCAAACAACCAGTTACACATAACGAAGCATGTATTGGTTGTTACTTGGCCATAAACATTTTATTTACCTTTATTTCTCTTCTCTGTTTCCACTTGACCTTGTTACATCCAGTAATTTGCTCTTATCTTTGTAGGCACGTTGTTTTTTTTTTTTCCTTTCAAATCAGCACATCTGAAAACTGATTTGTTAATTGTACCCTTTATAAAAATAAACATGTTTTAACTGAAATACAATGAGCATTCTTACTGCATACCTTTATTCACAAAGCATGTGCCATCTGTTTTTCAGTTGCTTCTGTTCTCTTAGACTGTTAAGGGAAGGTTAAGCCTGACATTTACATATTGGCACAGCTCAGATCTCTTTCATATAGCTGCCCTGTGACTCAACAAATCTATCCCTATTGCATTCAAGAAAGCAACATTTGGCTATGCTCTGGATTCCTGGGCAAAGATTTCAAAACATCAGTAGGTTGCTCTGTTTCATTTCCAGTTCTTAACAAAGAAGGCTTCTCAGGAAGCATCTTCTCAGCCAACCTGAGGGCTGAGCAATGACAGCTGTCTCGCTGACAGCACAGCATCTACAGCTGCAGGGATACTTGTGTGCTTTCCTATGAAGCACTCTCAGGATTTTCACTTGGAAACCTGAAATGGCTTTGGCTGTTTTATGATAGGAAACATTAGATGAAAAGCCATTGGAAAGGAAGAATACTTTTAAGCTTTATTTTAAAGGGTTCTATACCAAACAGTTGGGCCCATCAAATTGCAGGCTGCTTCTTTATTTTAGAGTTTGTTATGTTAATTCTCCAAATGGATACTCTGCATTATTACAATGGATCATTAGGATGTAAATTAATCTTGAAGCAAAGCTGCCTTAATTAGTTCTGGGACAGATTACAGAGGGAATCCAAAGCACTAAACTATCATAAGATGACTTTTGTTTTCAGTAGTGAATGCTGCATGATAGATTCGCTTGTCCTGAAAATTCAGGGCTAGTATCTATGCATAAAGCAGGGCAATCAAGAGTAGCAATTAACTCTAGAAATCCTGGCTCCTTTTGTTTGCTTGGGTAGTTGGTTTTCTCAAGTTACTGAATGTAAGTTAGTTAAAGGTGCTAACCAGGAAGGCTTTCTAGCAGTTGATAAGTGGAGCACTTGGTCTTTCTAAGGAAACATAAAATTATTAACATTCCTAGTCAGTTGTTTAACTTATATTTGCAAAATCAGCTGAAATCTTGGTGTATCTTGAGAAAAGCTAGAACAAACCCTTGAGCCAATTTAAGCACTCTCACTGACAACTTAACGTATCCATACGTAACAGTATCTGTCCCGAAACTTTACAGTGATATGTACATTATGAATTTCATTTATCTTCTATTTTGGGAAGATCCTTTCCTGCCTCTTTTTTCCTTCAAACTACAAAAAGAGGGAGGAAGAGGAAGATTTATTCCTTGTAGTAACATGAACTATTTATTCCAAATGACTAGAATTGCAAATTACACAAAAGCAGTACTGTCAAAAACACATACCTGCATTTTCCATTTTCTTTTCATTCCACATCAGGCTGACAGCAGGAAACTTAGGCCTGATTAAATGCTAGCAAAAAGAATAGAAACTGAATAATAGGGGAGGGCACAGACGAAATGAAGGTAGGGACAAAAATTCACAAAGGAAACACAGGATCACAAGATGCCCTCAAAATCCTCATGCTCTGCTGATTACTCTCTTGCTCACCTCTGTAAGGCAGGCAAATGCCTCTCTTCAGAGGAGCACCACTGCTGAAATACACCGTTTTATCTCGTGGAGTTCTTTAAACTTCTTCCCTATCCTTTGCCAGGTTCTTTCTTGAGAGCATGAGCAGCACGTCCCCTATGCAGCCCAGAAGCCTGGCTGCTCCAAATGAAAGGCATGCTCACGCTTAAAAGCAGCTGATCTACAGAAAGGAACACAGCAAAAGCAATCAATAAGTAGCAACATAGATTTTAAGACATATTTTATTTAATGTGCAAAATTGCCAAGAAAGAACATGTACAACTTCAACTAAGCTACAGCACCTGACACAAAAAAAAAAAACCCTACGCTATGTGCTTGTAAGCTTCATTTCTAGGATCACCCTCCAGTTCAAAGTAAAAACAGCCATTTTGTAATGACCCAGAACATCTTACATGTTTTTTTAGTGAAAAGTAAAATTCAACCACTGGTGTGGGCAATGTTTGTAATTGCAAACGGAACCAGCTCTTGGAGGTTTCCTTTCCAACTGCATAGTATAAAATCTTAATTGGTTATTCTCTTCCTCTTTCAGTTTAGTCCCTAGACTTGGCTTTACAAATTACTCACAAATTCGCAGCTCTAACTGGCTTAACAAAACTAATTTACCCATTTACAGCTGAAACACACTTAAAAATAGACACAGCCATTACAGTTCAGTTGAATCAAACTGTAAACAATGAAGATAATGTGGATATTTGTAATTACGCAGCACTTCTCCTTTCCATAACTCAAAGATGCAAGAGAAGTGAATGTCATCAAAAATGGAGATGAATTATAGGAAGCGACACAATTTATATATTAGCATCTCTGTAAACAAAAAAAAAAATAATAAAATATAAAAATAAAAATAAAAATAAAAATAAAAATAAAAATAAAAATAAAAATAAAAATAAAAATAAAAATAAAAATAAATTAGAAGCTGTTATTAGAAAGGCTTCCTAGACCATACTGAAATAGCATTAGGAGGGGTTTGCTCCCTTGTGAATTCATCTGTATTTCAGTGTCCCCAGAGGACTGGGTAATTTATAGTCCTGAACAATTACCAAGCTCCACGAAATAACAAATAATGCTTCATACTGAAGTACCAGCTTCCCCTCCAGGGTTTCACAGTTCCCAACATTATCAGTTGAACCCCTCCCAGCAGAATGAGGAGGGGCATTCTCTCCACCCTGCTTTACAGACAGCGATGCTGAGGCACAACCAGATTAAGCTGCCTGTAACCAGCTATCCTCCTTTCTGTCTTCACATGATTATAAGATGCTTATGATAGTTAAGTCACTGAGAGAATACTGGATCAACCCTACTCTCCTTGAAGCAAGCATGCATTTTGTCTGTAACTTCAATGGAACACATTATCAATATTCATGCTGCCTTAATGCTAACATGACGTTGTCAGTATCACGCAGTAGAATATGGTCCCAAGCCACACAGTGCCATAGCTAATTAATAATTACATCACGTATGTTAGTCACTATCTCTGTCACACCTGCAGTAAATCAGTGAGCTACAGAGAGCAGCTGTTGGAGTACACTAATGCAAAAGCTAAATTCAAAATGCACAGCTGCCACAAAAGAAAGTTGTTCAAATGAAAATGAGAAGTCCAATAAGGCAGGAATATCTGCGCTGTGCACATTTCCTTTCTAACCAGACCTGAGCTCTTACTGCTGGGCTGCTCAATCCTAAACCTACCTTTGAGTGAGATGGGCTCTGTTTTATTTTCCATAATATTTGGCTTCACTGTCCTTTTCTCTATCCAATACGACCTTGAATACAGTTTGAAGAACCCAATGCAAGTATGAAACGTAAAAAGCCTTGTCAGTCCCTCCATCATAGGGAGCAATACTGAAATTAATTTAGAGGAGGGTGAAGTGTTTTCTTTTTTTCTGCTTGCACTGTTGAAAGTAGGAGATAAAGGCAAGAACAAACAACAAACCTGAATTTTCCTTGCATTCAGATCTCCCATGTTTATAACTCTGAATTAGAAGATGCTCTTAATATTGTTATTTTTGTACTGTTTTAACAAGCAAAGAAATCAAAAGCTAACAAAATACCTACAATCGATTCCAAGCAGTTAATTTCAGACTCTGTTCTGTCGTAGTTATCAACCCCTAAGTAGCTGGTGTCCATGCACTGCTAAAATAGAAGGTTTAACACCTATTCTTCTACCACAGCCACTCACTTTTTAAAGTACTGGTAAATGCCTGGTGTAGACTCCTGTACTCTGTTGCATCACATCTCAGCGTATATGTTGGTGAAGTTTGCTGGTGATGATTCCTTGTAAAAATCCAGAGTTAAGGACACACAAATTTCTGTTTTAACAGTTTAAGAAGTTAATCACGTACACAGGCACTCTTTACAAAGTCCCACTGGAGCCTGCAAAAATCAGTGCTCCTTGCCAGATATGCTTGATTTTAACTCATGCTGATGTGTTATGGTGTTTCAACATTGGTTTACAAAGCATAGAAATGCACCAAGCTGCAGCAGAGGGACACGCTTTGTAAGAAAAAAAATCACCTCCTCACAAAATACTGTACTTAGTGGAATCAACTTTCGGTATCATTTACAATCCTTCGGACCTATTATTGCCCTAGAATGTGTGTATTTAGTATGTTACAAAGTTATTAGAATACAATATGCTACTCCTTGACAATTACTATTAATGAACTCAGCAATTTTTGAAAAGTCAGGCACTTCTTAAAACAAGAATTATTTTTACCAAATGCAAAAAAAAATAAATTACTGAAGCATCTCTTCGTGGCATTTGTAATTATTGTCAACACATCTGCTAGGCATTTAACCACCTAACTCTTTAAAACCCATTTCTTATCTTTCATAAGCTTTGTAACAAAAAAAACCCTGCATTATTGCCTCTGTACAGCTTAAGAAACCTGAAATGGGTGGGCACAAACAGGTGGATCTAAGAATTAGTTTTCAAAAAACTGTAGTTCTTACATCTGTGTGTATTAAGGGCAAACATATTGCACATTGTAGTGTATCTGCCTCAGAGCCCCGCTGAAATCCTTGTTCCATCTCCCGTGTCTTATCTACAGTCCTGACAAAAATTTTCCTGGATAACAGGGATCCAAGGTGTGCAGTTTTCTGATTGCTTTTCATTCACCGGGTACTGCCAAACATTTTGGACCAAGCATGCAGGATAAGACCAATACTTTTGATGCTGTAACGACTGGTATGCAATACAATTATTCTCAATAAAGATACTGCAGTATTAACCAGGCAGGCCTGTATGTCTTAGCCATCTTGAAACCTTCATTATAGACCAAGTCAGTATCCAATTCATTTACTGACCTATATAAATATCATTTCCACAAGTAAATTTTTACATTATTTATTTACAAGAGAAAGGCAACAGTTCATAAATGCATTCTCAATGAGTACTCATCCTCATTTTGCATGCCTACACTTCAAAGTGTTTTGATAAGCAACACAATCTTACACAGTCCTGGAGTTATGTTCAAAACATTAACCCGTGAAAAGAAAGTCTAGCATAGAAAGTTTAAGTAACCATTTGCCATACTGATTCTACATAGACCTGTTACAAAATCTACAGTAGAGGTATAAATCACTTTATAGTAAACAGGCTTGAGCTGATTCATTTCTCTTTAAATGCACACTGTGTTGAAAAATTACTCAGCAGACCAATAACGTATCTGGAGAGATCACAGAGATGTTATTTACCCCCATATACTTATTTTCAAAATTACACGACTTACTCAAAAAAAAAAACAACTGTGTATTTGTACCCTTGTAGAAGTAGAGTTAAGTGGGGAGGGGAAAGATCTGATCCATCGGATATGATAGCAGACTGAGAAGGCGGTAGTAGTGACAAGTAAGCACTCCTACCTTAGTAGACCAAACTTTCCTCTTTTTCAGAAAGCCCATAAAAAAAGAAAAAAGGCTAATAGTATTAATATACTAGCATAGTGTCTGCACATTTTTTTTTTCAAATGGTAAAATACATATAAAATGACATACAACTTGAGATTAAGTAACCCTGGAAAGCTCTCATGCTCATTTTGCCACGTTCTCATGTGGAGCTACACAGAGTATGCACATGGCTTGCACAATGGAGTGGAAGCATTAATTGATACATTCTTGTATTTGGACCGAGTATTAATTAATACATATCCGTCATTAACAGTGAAAGCAATGCACCTTTCCAAGGACAGCTGCTTTAAACAACCATTTTCTAGTAGGTATAACGTAGCAAGCATCAAGAAGATGCATGGCTTCCAGACTGTTAGGGTACTTCTGACCCCTTAACGTCCTTCATACTATCTCACACTTGTTCTCCTCCTACCCAATTGCATGGCAACAAGGTATGAGAAGCCACTGCGAGATTTTTTTATGTACAAGAAATATAAGGTCAAGACCATCACTGTTTTACAGAAACCTTAGACACTGTGCTTGGAGCTGCTCACATGTGGACAGGTAGTGCGAGGTCAGCAAAACGAAGCAGCTTCTCATGCTAGCTCAGAAAACTATCATTGCTTTCAAGTTTCCTCAGACTTTCAGAAGCAGGCATTTAGCTCTTATATTTACAATGCAGGACTGAAAAAAATACATTAAAGTTTAATTCATTCTTTACAGACATCTTGACATGTTTCCCGAAATTGCAGTTAGTTTTCTATTTATCACCCCTTAAACAAGACAGAGGCCTCACATCAGTTCTGCCACAGAATCCAATGCTGCTCTCTACCTGCTTCATAGTTTTAGCTTACGTTTTCTGTTCTCCATGTCTCCCCATTTAAAATTTAGTCTGAAAAAGAAATGATCATTACTTATGATAATTTTCCCATTTCTATATAGGATTTACATGCATTTCTATCAAGTTCTATCTAGAATATTATTAGATTAAAAAAAATAATTGAATTTCTACAGCGTTACAGCTCCTCACAATTCCAGATATATCTGTCTCCAGAAATGACTGTCAAAGAATGCCCTCTTCTCCTCTTAAAGTTACTCTTTTAGTAATGTTAATAAAGCATCACACACAGTATGTATACCTACTGAGAATGGTCATTACACACCTACCGAGAAGTAATTTTACATGTGTTTCATTTGTCCATGTTTCTATTAATGATTTACAAATCTGAAGACAAGTATCGGTCAGAAAATCAACATTTCTGTACACAGAAAAGAGTTTTTTCCATCCTAACATTAGCAACAATTTAAAGAAAGTTGGGGCATTTACTAGAAAAGCCCTAAGTTGTTACTGGAGTAAGTGACACCAACACGTTCTGATGATGTCATAACTTTCAACAGGTAAACTTTCTGCTTCAAAATCAATATTGAAAAACTATATTGTAATTGTAGCCATACAAAATGTTTATTATTTTACAAATTATTTGTACACTATATTTTCACTTTTTCATTGCTTTGTGCTCAGACAATATAAATATTACAGCATGGATTTTTCTTTCCCAGGAATGTCCTTACTGTCTAGATATAATCTTACTTTGTACTTAAAAAAAAATATATAGAAACATTACAAACAAGATAAAAACCCATTATGAATGAAGAATGTAAAATACCTTTGCGAATAAAAGTGTACCACAATGGTTTCAGAGTGATGATTCAGGGAATATTCAGTAGACTGCACATCATCAATACAATATCAAACAAAATTGAGTTTTGAAGTCTAACAGGTCTTCCTCAGTTGTATGAAGAGTACTTTGTTTAACTTTACTGAAACGGTTTGTCCTTCTAGATGGCAATTTATATGGTTCTTTTGTTTGTTTTGTTGTTCTTGTTTGTTTTGTTTTTCTATTTTGTTCATTTTGCTTGCATGCAGGTATCCCAACCCTATACCACATACGTAATTTTCAAACTTTTTAAATTTTCAGTATGGCAAGATACATGCTTGGCTTCACCCTCACACATTTTTTGACAGAACAGTTAAATCTCTTAAGTTTAAGAATGGGAAGAGATTTACAAGCAGAGCTGAGCGTCCCGAAGATGCTGTTTAAATCTGATACATTCTACCTCCTGTGACTCTTTTGGGACTACGTTGTAACATGACCTTTCCCAGATATATTGCTTCAGCACTCCTGTCTGCATGACTGCTGCTGCTTCTGCACTTGCAGCTTTAGGATAACCCTGCAAAACTTGTGTCTAAAATACAGAAATTTATTTCAGAGGGCATTTCACTCCCATTGCATAGAAGGCCCTATCTGCATACAAAATTTCACTGGAATAACGACAAGAATCATTCAAAAAGCTGATGCAAAAGGCAGCTGACTAAATGAAGATTTAACTTACCAAGTTAGCTTAAGCCAGTTATTAAACAGCTTAGGCTAAATAAAATGAAGCTGCTCTTAAATTATGTCTGCACTTACATTACAGTGATTTAAATACACCAACTGAAAAATAAGCACAATATTGTTTGCATGATTCTAGTGAAACTTGCATGTATGGATGAAAACCAATACAGAGATTCAGCCTTGCTCTCAGTGGGTTGAGTTCCCACTGAGGCCAAACAGAACTTATTTTTATGGCACGCTGAGTTTGGCCTGGTATCTTTCAAGCTGTGAGTTTTAAATGCAACATTTTTAGGCAGCTGTTAACGCAAAAAGACATTTGGATGTATTGTGTTACACTGATAAGATCAGTGTTAGTTAGCGGACAGGTAAGTTAGACAGCAGTCTGCCTTTAGTAGACTTATATGTATATGAAAGATTGAGTTTCTTTGGTTGTTTAATATCCAAGCCACCATTTGTGTATTCCAGACACAGCATGTTAATATTGATCATTAAAATTATTTTTTCTTTTTTTTTTCTTTTCTTTTCACTTGATTTATGGAAATTTTTCGACTATAGCAGATTAGTCACTTATATAAATATACAGCACATATATACATCGAGATTACAAAAATACATTTTATTTATATCTGATTTTTAAATAATAAAAATGAAACTTCACATTCGTTTAAAGATCAGTTAGCATTCCAAAAACTTCTGCAATATCTAAGGTCTCGGAGCAGAAGATATCTGTGTATTCTAGGATAACTACATATCACAATCTCAGGGTTTATGATATAATTATTTTGGGGAAAAAATAGCTCTGTTTTAAAAGTTTGTGCTTCATCAATTTCTTCTTTCCCCTCTTCTAGTCTCCTCTTTCCTCCTCTCATTTTATTGATGGCCAAAAAGCTAAACCAAGTTCCCTTTCTCACCCCAATAAAGACCAAAGAAACTCAAGAAAAGGAAATGAACAGACAAAATAGCATACGCAATTGAGGATAGCTTACTGAAATGAAGTACATTACCTTTAACTCCAGTTGACATCAAACATGCCCAACACAATGTATTTTGCAACAACTTCAGTTCCCAAAGCTAATTGGCAAAGGAACTGAAAACAATTGTTCATGATCTCCAACTATTCTGTACAACTGCAAAAGACAAACTTTTTGTCCCATTCAACTGGTTTGATTCTCTTTTGGGTTTGGATTCATACAATAATGCAGCTTAACAATTTGTGACCTTTATCTTGAACAACACAAAGTCAGCATCACTTCTGGAAATGCTCTCTTTTTCACAGCACATTAGTATTTTCATTAATCCATTTAACCGTTTACTTATTTACATGTTAATATATAATCAGGTCCTCTACATTCAGAACTTCCTAGGTGTGTATTCACTGTTCCATTGCAAGATCCACTGTGGCTTCATGTAGCACTTCAGTAGATATCGTTGCTTAAGAAAGAGAAAAAAAGCACTGTGTTAAACAGAGGTCGTCTTGTACAAGCAGGCGTATTCATTATTCCAGGTTGGGAATACTTGCTCAAAGGTCTCAGGTTTACCATCTTCACATCCATAGAAAGTGAAAAGCCTGAATATAGAGCAAACACAAATAACCTCTTTTATTTATTTCTCCTGGAAGCTTCTAGCACCAATTTCCTTTGTTAGCTCTTCATGCATTGTGTTGTCTCACACTGAAAATTCTCCTCCATAACTCATCAGTGGCATTCATGGACCAATTATCAAAATATCATTAACCTCTTTCAGTCTTCTGTTCTTTCACTTCATTGTACTGTTAATAGGATGAGGAGAATCGGGGGTATTTACAGGACATTTATGTGTATCACTCATCGCAGATTCTTTTGGTTTAAATACAGCCTCTAGAAAGAAAACACTGAACGAGTCCATGTTGATGAAATCAACGTTCCTTGTACAATGTCCCGCAGCAATTAACATGGCCACCAACCACCACACCTACCATGGCCTCCAGCTTTCTGTGTAATACTGTGTTTTCTTCTTTAACCAAAGAAATAAAGTTTTGACATGCAGGAGTTATTTTCAGCAGCTCTACCTTTGGGCCTGCAAATGAAACACTGTGTCACAGACATGTTCAGCAGCATCTCTAGTGACAATGGGTCATAGTACAAGTGCTAAGTGACTAACAATTGCATATGGTCTATAGTATCTGAATTGAACAGTTACCTGGCAGCATTTCCTTAGCTGGCAAGCAGAATGCATATCTGCAGAGTCTTGTTGCTCTACGGTAAGTGATTTCATAGTGTTGACTTTTCATATGGAGAAAAATGCCATCACTTTGGCACAATTCACAGCAAGTTTGTGAGTGAAAATTAAAGGGATCACTTCCTTGGCTACTTCAAATTATATGATACAACTACTGTGCACAAAAGATGTTAGACCTGGAACTCAAACATATCTGTTTGCTTCTTTGCCAGTTTAGCAACCTCTTCTCTTATTGCCTTTACAAGGGCAGCTGTAGAAATGTTGGTGAGAGGGGCATCGGACAGGTCGTTTTCCGTCAGGCTCTGCTGAGAAGCTGTGGCAGACGGCAAAGGAGCTTGTTCCAGGCTGGGATGCATGCTCGCCTGCTGGCTGTATTGGCGAGGCAGTCGTGAAGGAGAATTGTGTTGGTAGCGGGGCCTTGGGTAAGCTTCGATGTAGCCAGGCAGTGGAACCTGTAGAGCATCGCAATTACACAGAATTATACAGAACAACTGATCCTTAGCACCACCCGTCAGGGTAACACAAACCTCCATGGGGCAGAGTAAGATGCAAAAGATACGAACCTATGACAAGAACGTAAGCTTCACATTCCGAAGTGTCAGTTGACAAATTTATATCTTTGCATGTGCCATTTACGAATGCACATCAATAAACTCAACTCTCTGAACCTGTGGCAGCAAAAATACAAAAATACTTTGCAGTATACTAGGACACTGCAGTGTGCAATTTTATCATGACTGCAAAAAGACTAAGGAGGCAGCTTTTCTGAAAGTGTCCCCTCTGATTACTATTTCTCCTAAGTATTTTTCTTTCAAACAGCCACTACTATACATGTATTTCAGGACGCTGACAACACTGGACAGAAGACTTTGCTGGTTTGCAGCAATAACTTAAGCTGTTTAGTTTTAGTGTCCCTGTGACTATTAAATTTCTGTCCAAAATCCATGAACTCTGATACCAGTCTTTACGTTCATACTAAACTTCTCAGAAGCTTTGGTTTTGTTTTGTTTTTTATCTGACAGATAAAATAGTATTTATGTCTTGCAAAGTCTAGGAAATAGTTTCAAAGGCTTTGTGCTGCTTCAAAAGGCAACCCACAACACATCACTAGGACAAGACAATTTCTCCTTGAGAAAACCTCACTAGTACCAACTGGTCGTTGCAATCCATTCCAACAAAAAGGAAGGGAAATTCAAGTTATGCTTTTTATGAACAGGATGGCTCAGAATACCACACTTACTGTAAGGTAACCAATAAGCTACCACAATATTTAAACACTAAAAAGTTAACTTTGTAATTTATATTGCTCAAAGTAGGAAGAATACATGCTTTTTAGCTTTCTAAATACACTGAAGTCTTATATAAGTATATATAATACAGGCAGGCAGCCAGGTGTCTCACCTAACTTTTGGATTTCTGTCAGGCTGATGTGTAAGGTACCTGACCCACCAAGGCTTCGGCTTTGGTGGATTTGCCAGAAGCAGAATTTCAGAACTGCAGGTGTCTGCAAACAGACTCAAATGGCAAGATGTGATCCTCTGCCAATTTTAAATACCCCGCAGGGATTATGGGACCACAGCATGAACTTCAGAATGACAACTTTGGAATTTTATTTAAATCCCATTTTGGGTCTGGTCCCATGAGACTTTTACAATCCCCTAGGTGCTTTTGAAAATCTCAACAATTCAGGCATCTAAAAACCTATGAAATCTGACTACTGGGACTTACTCATGCTCTGCAGGATCTTGGATATCCACCAAGAGATGCACAGAACGTCATACGTATTCAATATGATGTGATGGCACAAGCATGGGAAACAGGTGCAATACAAAACTGATCATGAAATGCAGTCGCCTCTATTTAGTTGACAACAGATTATTCAACAGACGAACATTTTAGTAATACAACTTGAACACACCACTAGAGGCCACCAGCTCCCTACTTTCACTGAGCAGTATCTAGCAATTTGGAAAATAAATGCATTTCTCTTCTCCCACAAAGCTCAGTGTGCCAATACTTAACTTATAATTGAGAAAAGGTTAATTTAGGTAAATTAAGCTTCCAAGACAACTCTTGGTTGCCAAATCTCCTATTTCATATGCCTACCTGGTGTCTTATTTACAGTCCCATTAGTGGAAACGCATGACGAGTATCTCATTTTTAAGTCTCTATTTCTACTTAAAAACCAGAAATGTTTTGTTTCTACATTTTTTTCTCTTCTGCTAAATCGCAGAAGGGCGAAAAAGTCTCTGTAACATGATCTGGTTTAAAGCTCTGTAACACGTAAGTGAAGTTGAAAGAAATATTCATTTCCTTTGAATTCTATATTGTCAGTTATTTTCGAGACAGCTTCTCACTTCCCTCTCTGTCCCTTTCTGTACACAGCAGAAAGGAACAGTTCCCTGGCACTAACTGCTTTTCTCACCTCTTTCCCTTAAGACAAGGAAAGAAGAGGGCTACATTCTTCTCCTTCCAAAGGAAGAAACTGGGGGTTGGAACATTGATTTCCATTTTTTTCTGGTTTGTTTTTAGTCTTCACTTTTGACAAGTGATACCTGACTCTTATTTAATGCAGCCAAGAAGTAGGGATGCAAAAGGGAAAAGAACAAAAGTCAATTAAAATACTGTTCCTGGCTCTGTTTTCTTTCTGAAGAAAAAGTTCTAAATGATTGCTCAGACACAACGGTCCTCCTGAATTTAAAGTGTACATAGGATTACAAATAAAAATTAGAAAAATAACATTTTTTTCATGGTTTCCATGGAAGGTTTTGTTTGTTTTAAATGGCAGTTCTGATCTGGAAGGGAATCTGTATGACTTCACATGCCTCCAGGTGTCAGGGGCACAGCAGCAGATGTACTCAGCTTACACATGAACGTATTTCTTCTTTCTTGACAGTTCAGCCTGCAAATTCAGACTTGTATCTGAGAGACAAAGTGAATTCTTTTCCTCTCAGACATCAAAAGCAGTAATAAAGATTTGGCAACAAATAGCTGTCCCCAGAACATTTATATGCCCTTACTCTCTCTTGCTTAGTTGCTCAGAGGCAACTATTAGAAAGCAGTTCAGTAGAATGTTCTGTTGATGATCTACAGAAAGAAATAGAATCCATCTCCCAGTTCACTGGGTTGAATTGGTGCTGCATAAACACCAGATGTGAGCTCAGGCAGCAAAATCAATCTTTTGCTTTTATTTCTTTAATAGCATTAAAGGTAAGTGTCGAAAAAAAGCCCTAAATGTTAGAAATTGTTTCAAACATGATGAACTACCACAATTCATTTTAGGATCTCAGTTTTATCTCTTTGAAATGTAGGTACACTTCAGACTAAAAATTAGATCTGTCTCAGAGTAGAATTGTGCAATTAATTATTTAGTTTAAGATCTGTCAGGCCCTTCAGGAGGACTTAAAATGCTGTGCAGCAGGGTTGCGGCAGGCCTGGGAGCTAGGAGCTGGGCTATCTCAAGAGAAGCCTCCAAGATGTAAAGGTGCTCCCCAGCTCCCAAACAGCAGGAAGCCACTTTGAGAGGCAGCATCACCTGCTCCCTATCCAAATTAAGCTTTAAGCTCTGTCTTGAGTATCTGACACACCAAATTTGAGCGGGTGCCAGCCTCTAGCCTAGTGAACAATGCTTACAGTTTGTGGGATGGATGACTAAATATTCCCACCCTCTCTCACAGGTTTTCATTGCTAGAGATTGTTCCCATTCAGGAAGAATTACCCTTCTCAGATCTTTTGCTGAGCGCTAAATATCACTTAAATCCTCTTTTGTGCAAATCACAGAAAATGTATTGTAGTTAGAGAAAGAAGGGTACTTACTGAGTCTGCCCACTGTCCCGGTAGTTCATTCTCTCCAGCATAGGGCAGCCAGGCTTGATTCCTGTATGCGGTGGGTGGCGTTGGGATAAAATAGCCTGTGAAGCCAGGTCGGTTTGCTGCTGGTATGGCAAACACTGCTGGTACTGTATTTCCTATTAAAAGAGAGAGAGAGAGAGAGAGGAAGAGAGAAAAAGATTAGATAAAAATTAATAGGCGGTATTTTCAGTTATAAATTAGGAGATATTACTTATGAAGTAATTGTGTCCTTTTTGTTTCTTTTTTTTTTCCTTTGGTGAGAATGACATCTCCGTTGACCTTTGGTTGGATGTAAGACTCTCAATATTTGACTAGAATATCTCCATAATGCTGGGAAAAACTGGAGAAGATGAGATTTGTAGTTGTCTATATAATCATGCACAGCCCTTAGATAAAGATACGAGGACTTACTCCTTAGGACTTAATCCTTGAAATGGCTGATCCCCATCAAAACTTTGAAAAAAAAGTTGGTTTTTTCCTCTTACATTTGTTTCCTTGTTTTCAATTTTGAAGCTGTTGTTGCCATGGGTTCCAAAGTACTACACCTTTCCTTTCAACAGCAGGCTACAGAGCATTCAGTTTACACAGTAAAACTATCTTAATGTCTCTAGACATAAAACCCACGAAACCGAGTGAATGATACATTTACAAGGCTGTAATCTCACCAACCCCATCATAAAACATCAATACTTCCATGAAAAATACCAAGGCTCTGCCTGCTCAATTCATTTCCCAGGTACAGCCTATGGCTGCCATGAATTATGCAGCTACAACTTAAATAAGTATTTCCAAGGAAACCTGGTGACATGAGATCTGTTTTTACCTTGTCTTGATCAAGATACATGTGCAGGGATGTCCAGGAAGCCTTTTGTTAGAATTCCATTCTCATACTCAAGGCTAGGTGGGAGAAAACAGCTTTCCTAACACAAGGTTCAGCCAAGTCTCTGGATATGGTTCTACCTGCTCCTTCAGGTACGGTTTAGTCCTCATGGAGACACACAGGCCAGTGTGGTTCTTTCTGCAATTACTCAGACCAGCCACAGTGTTTACAAAGTTTAAAGTACAATTTGCTTGTCCAGTAAGACTTCCTTCCTCTAGTGTCTGCTTACACAGGGAGACAAACACCAGCATCTGTACCACTGCTACGCTAAAGCCCTAAAAACCTCGTTCCTAAATCCTTGGAGGAGAGAGTTCTCCACCAGCTTTATCATGGAGCAAACAAAGCATGTGGACAGGATGTTTTGAACACTCAATTATAATATGTGGGCATGTATTTTACTCTTCAAATTCACAGAATATAGCAAAAATAATTTATGTCAGAGCAGAAGCCCCACAAGAACACAATAAAAGTACAAATCGAGCATTTTTATTTAGGAATGGGTGTAGAGGAAGAAATTAGCATTGCTTCCTGGCTGATTCAGTTTACAGCCATGGCACATCCCCACCCCTGAGCACAAAGCAGTCTGCACAAAACCAGGGATCTCCAGGTTCTCAGTGACCTCCCAATGCAGCCCAGAGTCAAACAGCTATGAATGCAAGCAGGGCTTGTAAAGAGGAGAAAAAAATACTTTGTAGCACAGGGCAGAACCACATGGCATCTGTTTCAAAAATGACTTTAAAAAAAAAAAAAAAAAAAGAAAGAAAAGTGAAATGTCATCTAAAAATAATGGACTAAAAATATTTATCTTGCACTTTACACTTCCCCAGTGTTTTCCACTGTTTGGGACTAAGTCCTACCTTTCGTTTTGACATCAGGTTGTAGGTGAAAAGCACTGTGTCAGGCTGATGCTGGAGTCACTTTGCCTCAGAGAAGTAGTCACAGTGGATTTGTTCTGGACCAGTGGGATCTACGATGTACGCCTGAACAGCAGGTAGCCACAGGGTATCCCACAAGACCTCTATCCCAACTACTCCACTGCTCCCTCGGTTTAGAAGGAGGTGGGCTAAGAAAAGAGGCGTGGGCAATCTTTGTTCCTACCTGGTCATAGCCAGCACAAGGATTGCTATTTTCAATGAGTTAGCAAGGCTGGAAGTATTCTTCAGACACGTACAGAAAAGCAAGTGCTGCTCCTCTAGATGACACAAAGCTTCTACACCAAAAAGCTCTTTTAATTTAACCACAGCAAAATGAACTGCTATTCAAAGCGAACGCTCAAGTAGCGGAGATAATACGTTATCCCAATTCTTACTGCAAAATCATTATCTTAGAGTTAATGTCGATGGGCTACACGAGAGCAAATCAGGTCATTTCATGCCAAATCGCCACCTGCAGCAATGTTTTTTCATCTGTTGAAGCAATAAAAACTTATTTTCCAATCAGAACATTAGGAATCCTTGCTTGCTATAGTCGCAGGTTTCTTACAACTCTCTCCATCTTCCCCTGCATCACAGCCATTGACAGGATCTATCATACGAATGTTTCCTCCAACTACCCCCAGAACAATTCTGGCACATTCCACAATGCACACAGAGGTCTTTTTGTCTCTGATGAAATCCAGTCACTCTTCTGTGGCAGCATAGCACACTTACTTGTTACATACAGCAATCAAACCTCCGCGTCACTGGAAGTTATAAAAAGGTGTATCACACAGAACATGTTACTGCAGTCATGACGGAGGAGTTCTTGGCCGTGTGGCATGTTTTATAGTTTGAGTTGCATTAAAATGAAAGGGAGAGCAGCTGCTCTTTTTAGACTAACGCTGCAGAAGGTACAGTGATAAAAGCCAGAGTAGAATGGATCCTTCAGATCTACTGTATTTAATTAATTGACAACAGATTTGCATCTCCACAGTATTATTCTCAGTAGAAAATTGCTGACTACAATGCAGATAACTTTCTATTACTTCTAACTAAGACAAGAAAGAAATCCTTCTTGCAGATTAACTGAGCAACGTCTAACAAACCTGCCAATTACCAAACTGAAATGACAATGTACAATTTTTTTAATCTTTCAAGTCTTTTTCTATAGCTCATCAAGAAAACACATTTTGCCAATGAGAAGCTATTTCCAGTATTTTCCCAGCCAAGTGTTATGCAGAGACCATCAAAACAAAGTATCAGATTAATCTTCTGATTAAATCAATTAATTCAAAACCAAAATTCTTACCAAATTCATATCAGGAACACATGAGACTTCTAAAATGGAGATACCTTGACCCAATACAAGTTCTGCAAGTGAGCATGAGCTATCTTCTCCAAAAAAAGGAGGGCAGACTAGCTAACGTATAACCTTTCACCAAGCAAAAGCACTGCTGCCTTCTGCTTTGCATGGATGGGGACACAACTCCTCGATTTTACCCCTCCTCACTAGTCCACTCCCGTCACCACAGCGAGGGGTTAAGTTTCTCAGGAGGAAATAAGGAGTCATAAAAGACATCCCCCAGTCAGGCTGAAAAACATCAGTCACACACATTTTTCTTTACATCCATTTGCTTTTCCTCCCCTTCCTTACAAACCAAGCTGTGCTCAATGCCATCAAGCCTTCTTCTACACAACTCTACTACTTACAGCTTTTGAAGGTGATCTCCCAACTGTTCCCAGTCTCGGTGCTTTGGTTAGCCCTGAAGCATTCTCAAAGTACACAAACTGGACCTCTTTCAGATGAAAACGAACTGGAACAAATGCTCTAATGAGCATTCAGTCCATGGGTCGCTTGAAAGCTATGCCAAGTGTGTGTATGGAAAAGGCAGAAATTCAGCAATGCATGCAGCATGGATGCCAGGCCCTCATTTATAAGCTGATCAGCTTTACAGAGCTGCTCCTGTTGGTCTGCTCCACAACTAATGTGGATACAACCACTGTGTTATAGTTGATCTCAAGAGGAAGAGAAAAGGCAGCTGATGCAAACTGCTACTGAGGATCAAAAGAATGGAAAGAATCCAGTGATTTCAAGCAATATCAGCCAAGAGTATCTTTTAGTTTGATGAAGGGAGCTCAATGATTAATAGAAAAACAGCTGCATTTCTTACTGTTCACACCTTATTTTAACCTAGATCACCACATTTGCTGGTAACAGCTTTTCTTCATGCAAAGCTGTAAAGGTTTAGAGCTGCCTCTTGCTGCTGAGCCCCATCAAATGCTGCAAGTTCTGCTCTTGCCAACCAATGCCCTCTATATACCAGCTAGAAAATCCCCCCTAAAATTTCCACTGGATTTTGTGGTACAAATGAACTTTTTTACTGGACCTTTAATTGATCAGTGAGCCAGCAGAATGCCATAGTGGAACAAAGACTATCTGGTACATTGCTGCAGGGTCTTACCTTCAGAAGCACCATTTCCTGGTGCTTCTGCAAGACGGGTAGTATTTATAATGCAGCTGCTTCTGCATTTACAAAGGGATAATCTTTTGTATATCCCCTTCATTTGTACCCTATAAAATACCTAATACCTTCTTTCTCCAAATAATCATCTCTATTTGCTATATCCCATTTACTCATTTGGATGCAAAACAAGTTGTGTGGTTCTCAAAGATGCAAGTTGGGTCTGCGGGCCGATTTTTTCACCTGAGTGAAAAGCTGATTGATCAAGTGGGCCAACAGACATTGGAGCTCTTGAACCAGGTGCAAAAGATGCCTGATCATGATGCTGGGCCGGATCCACCCCACTGGACTCAGGTATTCTCACTTTGCTGCCAATATCTGATGTAGACCTGTGCATTAAAAGAGAGAAAAAAAGAAAAAAAATTTTGATATCCTGATTAATAGATGAGACTTGTAGCCATACATACATGCCTATCAGATACAGCATGACAAGCCTGCTACGGATAAGTTATCTGATTATGTTCTGGCATGACAGAAGTTTGGAAAATGTCTGAGAATTTCTTTAACCTGGTGCTACTTAGGTGAAGTGTGTAATTACAGTTGCATAGAGCCTTTTCTTACTGCATCAAGCAAATGGCTGTGACATGCAACACAAACAAACAAACAAAAATCTTTACTGTAGCTAATTAACACAATAGACAACCATAGACAGCAGCATATTACTACAGTGCATATGACAAGGTATCATACAGCAGGTGACTACTACGCTAAGTAGCGCAAACTGCATGTGAGAAGTACTAACACCCACTGAAAAGGTGTGTCCCCATTGCTTTAGAGCTAAAATGGAATGGATAAACGAGAGTGTGTCAGAAAACTGTATCCATATCCTGAATATTGGGATGCAATTAGAATATCATTAGCAGACACTCAGGAAAAAAACTTTCCTTTGGTCTCAGTGCTCCACAGCAATTCTCAGCGGGCCTGTGGTGCCTTCAGATTGCAGCTGGCATCAGGCAGTGCACAACAGCACAATATTGAAGGCTAAATGAGCTCATCCACCACAGAAGTGCGAAAATTCCTTGAAATGCATTTTATCAAGTGCCTAACCGTGAGGATACGCCAAAATGTATACCTTGAGCTAAGGCAATCAGGTTTTCACAAATATTTCACTTTGGAAACACAGGTGTGAGATACCTGAAAGCCAGGCACAAATCTCTGGACCCAGGGTTCTGATAACTCATCTGTATCATGTTGCAAGTCCTTAGAATAGAGAAAAGTAGGGAAAGTGACGGTGTGAATTATCCACCCTACATTTGCTATATGATATGCCATTACGCATTGTGTGAGTTGAGGCAATGAGTGTTTTAAAAGAAATCAGAGCCGAACCGTCCTAATTATGTTGAAACTGATTAGCTAGCGGAAGAGAAAATTCATTGTTATTTCTTTCCTCTTGACGTTAAAAAGAAAATAAAAATAGTGTGTTTCTCATTTCATGGGTGTTTATTAACTAGACGGCTCCTAAGTGCCACTTCAGGGTTTGGCTCAGTTCTTTTGCAAACAGTGGGTTTTAGAGTTCACACCTGAAACAAACCGAAAGGTAAATACCTCCTGAGAGAGGCCACAGCCACAGGACCGGTTCTGGGAGGGACAGGAGGAGGAGGAGATCCCATTACCATCTCAGGAAGCTGAGAAAATCTGTAAGCCTATAAAAGAGAGAGACAGATCTTCTGAGGCAAGAAGAGATACCATGCAAATTAAAAAGGAAACTAACCTCAGAAATCAAATACCTGCTTTGCATGCTGGCCCACAGGAAGCTAATATTTTGTAGCACCACTAGAAATACCGATTCATTATAGAACTTACAATGCTTGGGTGATTTTAGGACGTTGAAGAAAACATGAACAAATGTGTTCACAGAGGCAAAACGAAGTCTAATTAAAGCAAAAATGTATTAAACGCTGTCTCTGTGACACTTGTAACCTTGCTGGCAAAGCAGATCTGTTACGATTATGTGAGACTCGACAGCTGCTTTGGACCCACAGGTAAAAAATCTCAGTATTTTCAATTCCTCCAAAAGCAAAAGATTCAGAAAGCATCCTCAGAGCAGCATCTGGTGAAATGAAACTGCCCGTGAGCAATGAATATTTCAACATTTTTTTCCAGCCTTGAAGAGATGAAAAGAAAACTCTTCACAAAAACCCCAAGCTCTGTAACTTTCTAAAGCAATAATAATTCAAATTATGTTGAAAAAGAAGAGTAACTCGGAGGAGCACACAATCAGCCCACTAACTCATAAAACCCAGCATTTTGCTCATAGCTGTTCTGGATTTCATCACTAATACATGTGAAGGTCAAGTAACTGTGTGCGTGAAAGCTGTGGCACACAACAGATGACCTTTAGGGTCTCTTCTAAATTCTCAGGAATGCTATAGATTAGAGGTTATAATTTGGCAAAATGATGCTTAAAGACAGAGGGATGATTTCAATCTCTCTAACATTTCATTGACACTTCTCTCCTACCCATTGTGCTTTATTTATTGCTGTTGGTGTTTTTATTGACAACACTTCAGAGAAATGCCCAGGTTTAAAGATAAGATCGGAGTGATAGCAAATGACTAATTGTGGGGAGGCTCTGCAGGATCAAGATCCATGCATTTGGGCTCAAACTGGAGTCTGAAGTCCAGCACTGGGGCTTTGACCCTCTAAAAGAGAGGCATCTGCTTTACCCCGAGTATCTCCCTCGGCAAACAGCAGAGAAAGCTAAAAACGTGGTAACGGGGGATGAGTCACTCTCTATCTCCTGCCTGTTGAAAGAGCCTACAGGATTTACATGATTAGTTCAGACTTAACACCTACATTTAGGTTTGAATTTGGCAATATAAATCCCACACTAAATACCCAAAACCACTATCTAAAGTAATCATCTTTACAAATCACACTTTCAGACAGCGCTCCATTATCTTTTTTTCTCAAATAGCTGCAAAACTGGGTTTGCACACAGGAAAGATAACGCATCCACTGCTGACTTTTGATGTCAACGTATCTAAGGGAAAAGCAACACAGACCAAGAATCTTTCTCCCACCTCTCACCCCCACCTCTTTTAAAGCAGGGTAAGGTCCCTCAAAGGCAAGTCTTTGAAAATCATTTTCCCCTTTCATGCCACCTCTGATGTCTCTCAATATTTATTTGCAGCACGTTACGCTGATATTTAAAGTATTTATTTCTTTAGGTGGAAAAAATATGAAAATGCAGTGGTACATTTCCTAGCCAGGCGTGGGAACTACTGATTTTTAATGAAAGAACTGTATAGGGAAAAAAAATGCTGTTGCATCAAAGGAAACCTCATTTATATTTCTCCTACTAGCGCTGGACTTGAAATGGTCTGCAACACCTCTTCTGCATCCAGAAAGCTGGCAATGCTCTCCCAGACTGAACTGAACGCCTCCTTCTGCCTCCATAATCCTTTTATCCCACATCTTGCTCTCAGCATGCGTTAGTACTGAGTATGAAATTATTTTTTCCCCTGTTTTAAAGGTACAGGATATGTTTCAGAGTCGTCGGTGACTGCAGATACCACTGAGGGTGACAGGGTTGGAGGAGAGCTGCAGACTTGGGGTTTCACTTGTGTATTAACGCACAGCTTTGAAATGTGGACATCAAAGGAGGCTTTTTAAGGAATCAAGAAGAATGATTCACAAACTTCCTGCAACTTGCCCTGAAAATTTTGGGGAAAAAAGTGAAGTAGAAAATCCAACCATTTATTTTGCTGCTTACATAGGAAATGAAAGATTTTGAACGAGTGGCACCGTTTTGCTAATGGCTGGGCAGAGGGAATCCTGTTAAAGGGAAAAATCCTATTAAAAGATCTGCTACACCTTCCCAAGGTGCTGTCCACTCTGGGGAACAGCAGCCAATCCTCCATCACTTTTTTCTGTTCACAAATATATAGGTAAATAAAATAAAATTATTATCTCGGGCTAAATTATTCAATGTTGCCTTCTAATTAAACGCCCATCTGCTTAAATCTCATCATAGGAATTAAAAGGGTAGTGGTTTTGTTTACTCACTGGATGATTTAAATAATTTGGTTATTCATGTGCAATACAGAAAAATTGCATACATTGATTTCAGCTGGATTTGGTTTTGTTTTGCTGCTAGCTGTACGGAGCTTTATATTTAGCTTATTACCTGTTACTAGAATTAGTTGAACTTTGATTAAACACTCACTTGACCTCTGTTAAACGCAGAGAAGCTGCAAGGACTCAGATTCCTCACCAGCCATGCCGGCTGTAAGTCTGTCCATGTCCACCTGTGCCTGCTGTGCAATGCCAGTTCTCCCCTTGGGATCAAATCGTGTTACTCTTACTTCTCTTTCCGGAGCACTAACGAAGAGAGCTGGGAACTGGCCCAGCCCTGTAATAAAGAGGCTTTTTTTCCCAGGCTGTAGCACTCTGCTCAACTCAGCTACGTGGATTTCCAAAGCAGTACCACGACCTGCCAAGGTCCAGTGCTGGTACTCTGGCTCCTGTTGTGCTCTCTATTCTCTACCTCCTGTCCTCCAGCCTCCAGTACAGCAGCTGGATGACAAGCACCCAGCCAAATATTGCTCATCCCATTTTCAGAGGCTCCAGCACAATGCTGCAAGTTTGCATTTTACTGGCTTTTCTCTGCCAGGAGAAGGAGAGAGCCCCAGATGAAGGAGCTCTGTTGTCACAGGTTACCCAGGAGCAGCTGACAGAGAGGCACTCCCACACAGGCGCTGTAATGCTGGCACGTAAAAACAAAAATGAACAAAAAACACGTAAGGTCTCAAAAGAAAAACAAACATGGAAAAAGAAGAAAGCTCAAGAGACGTACACAGCTCCCTGGCGGTGGGACTAACCAGGAGGTTCACTCCAAAAAAATCAAAGAGCCCTAATTTGGAAGAGACCTGAAGAAACCCAGCCCTGAAGAACGGTTCTGCAAGCATCTGACAAATACTCAAGAACTCGAGAACAGAGGGAAACACTGAGATGGAGATTATCATGCGGATTTTTGTTGTTTTGCCTCAACCTATTTATTATTTGTCCATTATAAAGGTAGAGAACGTCTACGTTACAAATTTTATCCAGCACTTGTATCTCCTATGAAACGTCTTTGCAAGTGATGGCTCTGAGAAGGGTGCAGTCAAATTACTGGAAATTTGTGGGATATTGTAAAAGTTTGGAGTCCAATGTATGGACTGTGAAGGCCCAGATCTTACAAGAGACTGCTGGGCTGGAGATCTTTATACATATATTGTATCTAGAGACCTCTAAGTAAAGCCAATGTCTGCATTTGTTCCATCTAAGCAGGAAAATCCTCTTAAATCCAAATTTCAAATGACAATAGCATTATTAATGTTGACTTCTAATTGCAACTAATAACTGACATTTTAAAAAGGCAAAAATAAATAATGCCTTGTTTGTAGGGTAAACATCCTCCCCTGTGTAACAAGTGTCCTGGTGCTCACGTACCTCTCACCCTGAAGCCTGCCAGCAGCTCCTCAGCTCCCTGAGCTGGACACCGCTGCTAAGGTGCTAAGATGTCAAGAGCAGCAATTCTTGCATATTTTTCCAGCACACAGGTCACTCTGCACACACATCTCAACTGTTGTTTTGTTTTTGTTTTTTTTTTCCAACTGCAATCCTCCCTCCCTCCCCATTTGAGCACAAAGGGTAAACAGATTAGTTAAAGTCAGCTTATATTTGGGAAACTGATCAGCAGAAAACTATGAATTAAAGCCCTTATCCAAGCTCTGGTAGCCTGTGACTATCCTAGCCCATGGCAATCAATTAAAATATAAGTCTCTTTGGGGAATTCTTTAGCGCTATCTTGAAAACCCCAGAAAGAAAACCAAATGCGTACAGGTCCTAAAACATGCAGATGATTGAGTAATGAGTCTTGAAAACAAAATAGTGAAGCATTCACCAAAATGGGTGGCTAATACATTTTCTTAAATCTGTCACCATACAAGGTTTTTCAGTTCCTTTTAAAAGGACCTTCTCCAGTGTCAAAGTAATTTGACTAGCTATTAGCTGCCTCTTAAGCTCCTAATCAAATTTGAACCATGAAATATGATTAGAAGCCATATATGAAGTTCTTCAGACCAATTTCAAAGAGTCAAAAATATCCTTTAGCATGATTTAGACAGTACCAGCATGAACCTCGGATGGCAGTGCCGTTGGCTTTCACTTCTGCTTAGAATAGGTCAGAAGCAGCAACCCTTAATGTATTTTTTATTGTCATGGAAAGAGCTCTTAGTAATAGTTGATTTAAACTGAGGACACTTTTCTGCATTATTCTCTTATTCTAGCCAGTTAGGGACTAATTTTGAAATACATTCTTTCAAAACAACAGATGTATTTCTAACAAAAAACAAAAAAACAACAACAACAAAAAAAAAAACAAACAAAAAAAAAACAGCCTTAAAGTGAACAACTTAAATTTAATAAGGCTTTTTTTTCACACTGATATTGACAAATGGGCCATTTCTCATCTGAAAGCAATCATCCTTGGTTTAGATTTGTATCTGACACATGTGAAAAAAAAAGATTATGTTGAGTTTCAGACTACAGGATCTGGGAATACAAGGGTAGCTCAACCTGCCAAGGATACCCACAGCACTACTGCTATTACTGTCTAGATACCTACAAATCACCACCAAATCACATCCATAGACATCAATTCTTAATGCCGTTATTTCTTCTGTACGATAAGGAAATGTTAGCTGCAATTTGAGGTTAGAAAGTGAAGCATAAGAAGTGACTTACAGAAGGGCAACCAAGAAACCCTCAGGGCCTGAACCATCTCGTGAGTCCCACGCCAAGAGCTGTAACTGTGAGACTCTCAGTATCAGCCCATGTTTCAGGTCACTCAGACTACTACAGTGGGTTCCCTGTCTTGGTATGATGCTCCTCAGTGGTGGAACTTGTGCAGAAGTGTTGAATGTTTTATTCCCAGCTACGCATATATACGTTTTACAAAACCAGATCGATTCCAAATATGCATTCAGCGAACACGAGGAGACATGCAAGTCAGTTCTTGATCTACTGAACAGTCCGGAGCTTAGTGCAGCCTGTTCTTTCAAGCAGAACTTGGACAAGACAACCTTGCTGCTAACATAGAGCAGCAAGTCTTCATGCAGGAGATGCGTCTGTGTGAGGATATATACATACACCCCACGACCCAAACTTATTTACCATAAGCATGGCTTTACACCTGGTTTTTAAGCATGTAGATGAGACTCCATCTTTAAAAAAAATATGTCTCAGAGTAGAGCTATCTTTATGATATTACAGTATACTAAAGAGAAGTTTCACTTACTGGTCTTGGCAGACTGTACTGATACATTTCTGGTCTGTATGTGGGGACCCACTGCACACCCCCTCTAGGTCGGGTCATGGTACCAGGAGCGCTGGTCACCACCTCTGAGTAGGGCAAGTGTGGTGCTGAGCTGTAGGCCTCCTGCCTGCTCTGTCCTCCGTGGCCCGCAGAGGCCAGGCTGAAAGCCTCTTCCAAGAGCATATGCATCTGCTGTCGAACCTCATCAATGGAGGGCTGAGAACTTAAAGTTGAGGTCTCTGAATGGCCTTTGGCCTGACGGGACCTGGTGTAGCTCCGAGGCTCATTGACACGGTCAACATTTGTTTCTTCTATAATTTCGGGCTCAGTCTGTTGGATGGAGTAAAAGGATGGATATGTAAAGCTTTACAAGACAGTATTTGTGCTGCTTCACACAAAACATTCTCAAACAGAGCTAGAACATACAATGTCAGGACTTGTTACAGGATAGACACACGACAAGCGTTTTAAAGGAATTATGTCACACGGGGAAGGACAATAGCCAGGCACTCAAAGACTCTCTCATATCCTTCATTGTTTGCTGCAAAAGCTAGCAGGGACAATCTGTAACATGTTAAATTGTTAAGGATTCACTTAAAAACAATTAGAATTAATGCTGAAATTCTTTTCTTAGTTGTTCGTATCGACTGTACCAGGAGGAGTATGTTTCCCTAAATAGTACCATGGCTGTGAAGGACTGCTCACCAGCAGCTGCGTGGTACAGCTACACAGACTGAAATTCTTTTGTTCACTCACACATACTAAGATTTCAGAATAAATAAAGTTTCAGAGTTCTCCTGAAATTTCTAAGCCAGGAGCACCACCAATAATGTCACAGGATAGGTTCTGTCCTTTGCAGAAAATGTCCCAAACCAGCTCAGACATCCTACCTAGCCAGAGAGCAGTTACACAGAAATTTATCCAAAACTAATGCAGAGACAGGGAACAAAGCAGGTGCTCAACACCTAGGATACTCCTAGATACTCCTGGAGTTACTCCTAGGATAATAAGTGCAACCAAAGAGACTCTGTCCCAACCAAAGAGACATCCTGTCCCAACTGAATGATTCATAGCCATAGTTCTTCTGTATCCCCATGACTGTAAAAATGACAGTGAATGGGATCCCACAGGAGACCTATTAGGACCCAATGCTGAAATAAATCAGGTTTTATACTACAGCCCCTTGGTGAAGCCATTACAGCTCGAGATTCTTTGATCCTGTCCAGGAAAAGAAAATAATATCCAAAATAAATCACATGAATATTGGATTCTTAATAGTGGGACAATGTTAAGTCAGCTTTGATTTATTAGTTTAAAAGTTGGCATGAAGATTTTGGACGAGACTGGTGAGAGTTAAAAGTACTCAAGTTTTAAAATATATTTCAATTCATCCTATCACTTTCTAATGCATTTTATTTGCTTTCATAACAACCAAAGCACATAAGTATTGTAAATAGACATCATTCTATGCTCATGTTAACATAAAAACCTGGATATTGTTCAGACACAGTTACTAGATAATACAAAGACTGAGAGTAACATGAAGGAGGAAAATTAAGTCCTGTAAGGCGAAGCAGAGTTTATGCACTTCTGGTACAACTCTGCTGCAACGGTATCAGTAAAATCCTTTGTGTAAACATTAATGCAGAAGCTTATTGATATAATTATATTAATGCAGCTTGTAAATAAAGGTGCACCAGTAAATTCTTTTGCATACCACTCTCTTAGGCTTTTATAATTAGGTTGTTTTGTTCCTTTTACACCAAAACCAGATTAAATTTTTTCTTCCCTAGCATAAAGCTCTTCAGCAGCTCAAAGGTCCTAGACTCTTTCATTACTCTACTCATAACCGTCTTTGTATATGCTGGAAGTAATAAAGATGTTAATAAAGTTTGCTTAATCTACTTTTTAGGGAAAGGTGACAATACTAAACCCTGGTGGGGTTATTTAAAATTAAAAGGTGATCTTCAATAATAATCCATTTACAAGAAGATACTATAAAGCTAAATACCATACTCAGAACATCAAACAGAAGAATTTACAAAAAGCTATACATTCTATACAGACAGGGATGTAATTATTGGCCTTATTTGCTAACCGGTTTTTAGCTTCAAGAAATTGGACCACAATTCAAAGAAACATCACAGAAATCATTATACAGAATTAACTATTTTAGACAACCATAACTGAAATATTAGATATTTTTACGTAAGGGGAACCATTTAAAAATAATTAAAAAAAAAAAAAAGAAGTATCAATAGTATGGAACAGCAGATCTTGAGCTCTTACTTCCCTCTCCTATTTATAGAGCAATGCAAAATCAGATAGAGCAAAAACTCTTATGACTTTGTTATCAATACCAATCCAGCAATTCTTGAAGTTTCCTCAAGAAAGGGAAAATTTAATCTCTTTTCTTATTAAAAAGAATAAATAAAAATCCACCACCATTTATCATGGTTGGGAAATTAAACTTCAACGCATAACCTAGGGGGACTGGTAACAGCTGGGAAAAACAGAAAGCCATTTATTGATCTGTAAAAATTCCTGTGACTTGAAGATAACTTGAGGTACCTTATTCATGAATTGGATCATTTGGAACTGCTTATAAAGCACAAATTTCACATGTAGTTGGTGGAACTTGCTGCTAAATAATGTAGTGGGAGGAGGTTAGCAGGAGTTTGAGAAGGGTGGAACCTTTTGAACAACAAAGCAGATGTCAAAAAACTCTATGAGATGTTATTAGATGAAAAAAAAAGTAAGGACACAAGGTTCAGCATAAAAAGCAGCCCTAATTCATAAGTACATTATATCATTCATGATCTTTTAAACCCAATTTATCAAAATCTGCCACATGAACTTAATGGCTAAAGAAAACAATCCAATAAAATAATTCTTTTGGACCAGTGCCTCAGCTGCAACTGTCTGAAGGATGCTCGTCTCCAGAGGTCAGACTGCCAGGGGTGTTTAGATGCGCCAGGGGTGAGATCAGCATGGATCCCATGCATGAATATAGATTTCAGCGCCTATGAGTATCCTGGGAGACCAAGCCTGTCAGATGCTTGGCACAGCACTGAGGTAGCTCGAACGGGAGCGAGGGAAATCAGCCCACGCTGCAAGCTGAGGCTGGGGAACTAGATTTCAACATCCTGTTCCATTTTCCCATGGCATTTTTCTGCTTTCAGACAGAAAATACTTCCACTGCTAGAAGAGGTGCACTGCAGTGAATCTGCAGCACATCAGGCAAAGAGAATTTTATGTAACCTATCGCTAGAAAAAGACTCTGTCAGGGACAACCCTCCCTGCTACAACGGAAAGCAAAGCAAACTTAGGTAAAATATGCACAGATGTCAGAGACTGTACATTTTTGAGAGTGCATAATAAACTCATTATGCTCCTTCCAGGGCTTTCAGCAAACTTTCTTGAAAATCTATTTTTATACATTACAATATACACAACTTACTCAAATATATTTTTTAAATCTTCAGCTACATGCTTATAGCATATTTGTTTTGCACTAGTGGCAGGAGGCCATGGCTGCTGCTAGAATGCTTTCAATATTAATTTCAGGAAGATTTCACCTATGAATAACTACCTTCTATTAGCATATTGTAAAATCCCATGATTTTCTTGAAACATACGATTTTCAGGATACACAGGAAAGTCCAGCTTGACAACGTTTTCTTTTTTTTAAGAAAACTCAAATAAGAAAGGAAACATGTTAAAAAACTTCTTCTTTTTGCAAAATGTAAAGCCTGTTGCAACTCTAGGTTTTTAACAGCTATTCTTTTTTTTTTCCAGGCAAGTGCACTGTATCCTAATGCCTCAAAAAGCCGCGAGGCAGTCATTCCAACTACACGGCACAATGTGACTCATACAAGCTGATGGGAAGTGTCAACATAAAGGAAATCTCTTAAGAAATCTGGCACACACAACGTGCCCCAAATAATTCTGTAAAAGAATTAAACTTTCCAAAGACATTCCTTCACCTTGGTGAATTCCTTCGACTTGCTAAAAATATATCCCTGCCAGCTGAGAGAATTAACAATTCAGTCCCCCACAAAATGCTTGTTTAGAAGATGTTACAGTTTAGAGAATGAACAACCACCAGATGAACTTCCTTATTTTCCAGAAATGCTTAGACCTTTTCCAGAAATTCATCTTCAAGGATAGCTGAGCATTTTGTACACAAGGTGGACTGAAAAATTCTACTTTGGGTTACTTGTATCTTCAGTTTGGGTGTATGCTGGGTAAACTTATAACTAGTGTACGTTCAGATTGTGTAAGACAACTCATTTAGCCTTATGTTGGCTGTGTGAGTTCCTCAGACCACAAACCAGCGCAGAATTTACTCTGGCTGGTTTTGACATTTACCTATTCAAAACTCTCCTGGTTCTGATATAGTAAGAGGAGAATGAGAGTGTGGCCAACAGCTGTTCCCAGGGGATCTCCACAAGCCACTGACTTAAGTGCAATTCCTACAAGTTGGTTGTCCATTCTTCTAAATCAAGAGAGCAGCATAAGGGCTATAAAAAAAACAGAGGATTTTACTTACAAGAAAGATTTCGGTGTCCTATAAAAGCAGCTGTATATTTGGAAGAACTATCTAAATTCAAAAATCAATACTTTTGCAAAATACGAGTTTCAAGGAGAATGTTTTGTTTTCCTTTCTTTTCAGACTGTAAAATGGTGTGCAGCTATAAAGTACACTCAAGTGTCTGTGCCTTTTTCAGGATGCGGAGTACACATATACTGTAATGTTAAGTACCCATGGGCACCCTCACTTGGAGCTTATCAACAGTTTCCTGTTTTCAGGAATAGGCTAAGACTTTGCTGAGCAAAGTTCACTGGACGTATCTAATAAACTTACATCATATCCACTGTTACGGATTCCTCGCCTAGGTCTTTCTCGAGTCACTAGAAGATCCATCTCAGTTTCTCCTGGGCTAGGACTGTTCAAAGACTGCCTGCTTCTGTATACAGAGTTCTTCATCGGTTGCCTACAAAACATCAAACAAGAAAACAGTGAACCAAAAAAAGGATACAAACAAAAGATTATTCTAAAATTATAAGGTTCGTAAAAATGTCACTTTGTTACTATAGGATATTCTTTTAATGTATATGGAATTTCTAGAAATCAGTCACATTATAAAAGTAACATGTATTTTGTTTACTGTTTAAGAAAATAGAACTAAATAAAAGACACAGGCATCACGTGTGGGAGCATCTCAGATGAAATATGTCCCAAGAAGATACCAGAACTCTCTTAAGTCTTAGCTGGGATGACTTAAATTAATAAAAAACAAATAGGTGCTGTTGCCAAAACTAATGGCACCTTCCACACACTCAGATGCAGAGCAGAGATTTTGGTTGCTGATCCTGAGTAAAGCGGAACAACACTCCATTGAAACGAACACGCAGCAAAGCGTATGGGAGAAGAGGCGAGGGTGGGAGGGAACTGCTTGCAAGATGCTGTTTTTAAACAGCCAGTTTGGTAACTGGCCACAGCTTTAACAGAGAGCTGTACTCTCTGGGATTAAACCACTCCCAACATAGCTTTAAGCAGCACTGGGGCAAAGAAATCCCTAGACATTGCCCTTTCACCACCATGAGCTCAGAAGCAAGGGGAAGCAAAGGTACTAACTAGAAAACCAACATATCATTCAATATCCCAAGTATTCTGTAGTCTTTCTGACATCATCATTGCTTTCCTTGCTATAGGTTATAAAAAAAAAAAAATAGCATTCTCCTGTAAGATGCAGAACATATCTGTAAGTAAGTACTTAGTAGCTGTTGCCCAATTGTGACACAGGAACTTCATGTTTCATCAAACCGCATCTTTTAAGGTTACCTCTAAACCAGTGCAGTGTAGGAGATGCTGTTCCCACAGTTTATCTGGCTAGTAGTCATTTTCTTGCATGTATCAGAGAAGCACTCCTTCCATCACAGGTCCCTAACAGGTCAAATAATTACATGCCAGTTTCATTGATTAACACTGTAATTATAACGTCATTAAAGCCTCATGTGAGTTTCTCTTTGCCTGGTCATGCTCTTTTTTTGCTGCTTTGGGAAGTGGTTCCATTGCAATTATTAAAAAGCAGATCAGGCCATCTCACGTGGCTGTGTTGCTTGTTTTGCACAGGGGGCCTGACAGCGATCATAGTGAAGTGACCAATCTTGCACTCTGAAGTCTCTAAAATTTTGTACATGATTTACTACAGGTCCATTTACTACAGGTCCATTAATACTTGGTTGATGCTCTTGTGATGCATCTTCCAAGGGATTCAAACACACACCTCTCTAATACATGCAGATTCTTGACCTGATTACAAACTATTAAGGAATAACCCAGAATAGTACGTATCATCAGTAAGCTCCTAAAAAATTGTCTTGAGATTGCCAATTAGCTCATTTAAGGAAGTTTTACTAATGAGAAAGGAGGTGTGAGAGCTAACAACTGGCATTCAAATGGGTTAGCAAGTGCCTTCTGGGAACACAACTGGAACATTTTAAAACATGGATTTTATGGTACAGAGGACTCAATGGAACTAAGGGCACAAAGCTGTTTGTTCTTGAACACATCAAGTTTACAGAGTGTTGTTTTGTAGATCACTTTTCAATACCATATGAAAGAAAAACAAAATGTAAAGGTGATCTCTAATAATGTGATCAACTGCATCTTTGTTAGCTGGTACGTTTTGGAAATGCTGTAATAATGTGATTTAAGTTAGTGGAATATATGCAAAACAGAAAAAAAGTACAGCAGGCCTTTTTCCCTAGAAACTCTGAAATCTTTGATTCACTCCTAAATTATATTATTTTTAAAAAAGTATAAAGCGTTTTAATGTATGTTTTTAATTGCTGTAACTGTAATGACACAAACTAATGATAAAAGCAGAAAACATTATAAACCAAATCTTTCCCATTTTATGCTAGCCTAGATTATTTTAAAAGCATTTTTATCTCTTTACAGAAGCACAATTTTATTGATTCATTTACCAGTAACATAAACCACATTACCCTTAAGTTTTATTCAAGGTTTCCATCCAGAAGTACGTCATTTTAGCTATCTTGCTTTTACTTAAAAAACAAAGAGAATAATGCTGTGGCGTGTGTTGCAGCACATTACGTTCAGTTCGAAGTCTGTGTGTGGCAGTTTTAGTACAGACTGTGGAACATAATTGTTTGCAAAAAGTCCTGAAACATCTGTGAAGTTCCCAAAATGCTTAGTATCTTACAGCAAAAAGCATCAGAAACGGTTCTCTCTCAGTATGTAGGGCTATAGACTACACATTCAACAAGTCAATCCGAAAGTCAGCCTTTTATGGTTCAGCCACAGAAGGGAATCATTCCTCTAGAGCACTATACCTGCCTTCAAGCAGTTTCTATCACGCTAGTGATTGCTATCTCAAATAGACTATGACAGATTTACACAGCAGCACACAGAAAAAAACTGTTTTCCAGAACCTTTCAGCAGCACGCTGGCACACGAACAAACAAACATTAGTATATTAAACAAAAAGCAGATGGTTAGCAGCAAAGCTTCACGTGTGAATGTTTCAAACGTTCCCTACATGGCATGTGACACACAATAAACGTCCAAAGTAATGCCTGAGTTCTTCACTGTACGTGCAGCACAGCCGTATAAAAGTCTCTACTTGCTTCATTCATATCCTCTTGACTGACTGTGCAGACAGCACGGGACTCCTGTGTGCTACAGGTTCAGCATCCTAACTTTCCAGTGCATTTGAAGCGACTTGTTCCTTTCTCACTAGAAAACTGCACAAGGATATGATGCTGTGAGCCCTCCAGCAAGGATATAACCTACATTTTTTCTTCACTGGACAGTGCAACAGCGAGACACAACCCATCCAGGGCAGTATACATTCTGTCATTTAACTCTAGGCCTGTAGAAGTACATCTGATCACAGCTTTTGCCCATATTCGGAGCCAATACTGCTTTCGTAACTCCCATTAGAGTCTTTTTCATCTCAAGGGTAATTGCTGAAGTTGCACTGCATGCAAAGACTGTGTCATCACCGACACTTTGATTGCAGTCCTGATTTACACCTATATGAAAACTTTCCTGGAGATGGGATACAAGTCTGTACCTCAAGGCAAAAATGCCTTTTCCAAAGGAAATGTACTTCAGTATCTCTTTCCTTCCATGGATCAACTACTGCTGATCCCTGGTGATAGCAAGAACTGGAGCCTTCATGGTGGGAGATGTAGTGACAAGCACAGTCTTTAATAAGACTTCCCCCCTCACACCTCCACCACCCCTAGCAAGGAGGCAGATGCATGCTTTGCCATCCTTCTCTGGGGCTGCACTGGGGTAGGTCTGTTGAAATCTCCTCTTCTGAACATGTCAGCCTGTGTTTTGGGGAGCACCAGTGACAGAGCAGGTCCACCCACCTCCTCAGGCAGTCAGCATCTACACTGCCCCCTCACTTCTAAAACAGGGAGCCGAATACTACTGGTATGCTGTCTGCAAGACAATGAAGTGTTAATCAAACCTTAGCACTGTTAAACAACATGCCAGTTTCATGTCACAGATGAGAAAATTGTACCATTCTCTGTTTAAGGCACAGGACGGTCACCAACCACAGGCACACACGCATCCTTAGAGACATTCCTGCAGGATTTACTGAAACACACAGGCAATGTACTGGCTGTGTTTCCTTATGCCTACTGGAATAGTTACAGTCAGATTAAAATCATGCAAAAAGAGTAACGGCACTGACTGAACTTTGGAAAAGAATTCATTCGGATGCTAGCTTCCTGGCTTGAGTCCACTCTCTGTATTACTGAAGGAATTACTACTACTTTTTCTATTTACCTTTCTTGGAAAATGACTCCGAAGAACTTGCAACAGTCCCTTCCCCTATTTCTTTGCTTTTCCATTGCTTTTTAGCAACATTGCAGTTTTACCAAATTACATGCTTTCTTAAATTATCTTATATTAGCTAGTATCTATTGATATAACTAATATAGATATTAGCTAATATACATTTTCTTCATGAAGTAGGAGGGACCAGCTGATCTTAGAGCAAACAGTTGCCTCCTTACAGATTTTGATTCCCTACAACCCCTAGAGAGCAAGTTTCCTCCTGGAGGAAGAACTGCACGTAAAAAGTCTCACCTGTTCTTAGGCTCAGCAAACGGAGATGAGACATCTGGATCTGGATCCAAAATGTGGTCGATTTCTTTCTGCTTTTTTTCATACATCCTTTTTCTGTCTGTCAGCCCCTTGTTGTGATCAACCTGCGGGAAATCATAGTACCCCTTCCTCTTGGCTTTCAAGCGCAGCTTGTTGCGGTAATGCTCTATATCGGACTTCTGCTTCAAAGCCTTGTTCACCTGAAAGGCAAGCAGACATTTAACGGGTGGTGCGGGGCTGACTACTTCCAAATGGTATTGTCAGAGTGTGTTTGATGCGCTTCGTGTGTCATTTTACCCAGCGCTTTTTGTACCACACCGTGCCATCTGTAAGCAACGAGGAACTGCAAGTGAATAGAGTTGCTGCATTTTTTATGGCTTGGCAGATGGTTAAATAATTTTAGCCTAAAAATTATGTACCATCACAACAGTGACTCAGATACACCCACTGAAGACAAACACTGATGATGATAGCCAACTGCTGTGACCCAAAGCTGTACTTGCCTTTGGGCACTACTGGGAAGAACTCACTACTGAAAACTCCTGTAGGGTCCACGAAGTACTGAGACATCACCTCTGGCTAAACAAAACCTTAAAGAAGTCATCACTGATGGCCGGGCAAGTATTCTAGTGAAATACCTATCATCACATGTTCTTACTTGTATGGTTTTCTTACAAATCTGTTAAGGGCCCCTGTCAGAGTCACAATCGTAAAATAAAAGGGTGTTTGGTCTGACCTGGTGCATGGCGGGTTCCCATGGACACACCTAAGTATTAAGATTTCCCTCCTGCTTAATATTGTCAGTGACATGAAAATTAGTAATTTACTTGGGATTTATTCATTTCAGAATCAAATTCTATATTCTTCTCACAACTCCCAAGATATGTATGCACAGGGGAGGGCACAGTTTCAGGAATGTCACTTACAGAAAATAGATGCTGAATTCTAAATAAGCCTTCCTTTGCATTTAGAAACTGTGTGGCATATCCGGGCTTTGTGCAAGTATGAAACAGAGCACGACAGACTGCTCTAAACCAATAGCTTCTAAATCGATTCTAAACCAATATTAAATTCTCGGTCCTTAGAGCTCATAATGCTAATGGGACTTTATACAGTATCAGGATGAAAAGTTCCTACCAGTCGTCAACTATAACAGGCTTAAGATCGTGCCACCTTTGGGTGTAGCCAAGGAAATAACTGCAGACTTTATCAGGTGGTCCTTACCTCTCCGTTAATGATGGCAGATTCCTGGCTCCTGTCTGAGGCGGCGTGAACAGGAGGTAGTGCCACGGGTTTGATAGCTATCAGCTGTACTGAGCCAGAAGAGGTGTCAAAGGGGTCGATGGCAGATTTGGCAATGTTATCAAAGAGAATGCCTCCTTCCTCTTCATCGCTGATTGGCACTGAAGCACATCAAACTTATTTAGCACAAAGACATGTATTTTTACCGCACATTTAAAGAGGAAATTCAGCAAGCATATGCTTTGGATTAATGTTGTACTCAGTACACTCCAGGAGCAGACCTGGGAGACATTTACACTGGAAAAAATTCCATTAGATTACAGCTAACATAAGGTAACCAAAGGATTACCTGGCATTCACCCTATCAAAAAATAAAAAGTTTATTTCCAATCTGCACTAATAAGATGAAAAGAAAAAGGAAAAGATGAATGACACAGAAAACTGAAACTGGCAATGAAACTCAGAGTCCATCTTTTGCTAGGTTTCACATGGAAAAGATGCTACATGCACACACATGGAGGTGTCCACTTGTAGATTTCCATATAAATGGATAGTTTTCACATACAGTCAGACCCCTTCTACTCCAAATTGTGTTTGTAAACCTGCACCACCTCGTCAGCTGCAGAGCCTTACACCTAACTTCATCCTCATTTTGGAATGAAAGAATGCCTCTAAAGCCTGAGCACAAGTGCTACAGAGAGATTCCTGCGAACATTTCTGAATAATTGTGCTATTAAAGGGAAGAATGCTTGCTCTGTCTCCTAACTGACAGGAAGAGAGATCCTCTGCTACAGAACAAAGTGGTCTGCTCTCAATTTATTTCCTCTGAAAATACGCTCTGTTTTAATGTTTAATCACTGCACAAATTACAATGGACTTGTATAAACTCAGCAGTTTAGACAGCCAATGATTTTGATAAGAAAATATTTGACAGTGGCAACAAAATATGAACCCACTGAGTAAGCTCATTCTCATCCCGTCTGTACTCAGTGCAGACTGGAGCTGACGCTACTTGAGCTTTTGAGAACTGCATGGGCTAAAGCACTGGGTCATTAAATATTGTTTTTGTTTTTTTTTTCTGTAATTCACTACTGAAACTTCCACGCTACTCTATCAGGGTACCTCAGCAGTGACAGGACTACCTCCAGGAGAGGAAATGCTCATCTTGCACAAGCAAAGATCATCTCTCCTGACTGCCACAACTCGGCTGAGTTGGGTAGCATCTCACCTGTGGCTCAAGTACCAAAAAGTCACAGAATTGCTTCTTCTTGGCTGCTGCATCAGTGTTTGCTTAAACCAGGCATGCACAAAACCCCTGGAAGGTGGCTAAGCATCAACTTGCAAAACCACGAGGTGCAGCTCTTCCCACCCCAGTGTGTTGAGGAGAGGAGAGGAGAGGAGAGGAGAGGAGAGGAGAGGAGAGGAGAGGAGAGGAGAGGAGAGGAGAGGAGAGGAGAGGAGAGGAGAGGAGAGGAGAGGAGAGGAGAGGAGAGGAGAGGAGAGGAGAGGAGAGGAGAGGAGAGGAGAGGAGAGGAGAGGAGAGGAGAGGAGAGGAGAGGAGAGGAGAGGAGAGGAGAGGAGAGGAGAGAGGAGAGGAGAGGAGAGGAGAGGAGAGGAGAGGAGAGGAGAGGAGGAGAGGAGAGGACTCATGAATCACAAATGAGAGCTACTTCTGAATTGGTTCATGAACAGAGAATAGCACTCTCAGTATCTGCACTCTTATTTCTGAGCACATCTATATCTATCTAGTATAGTGCTGCTTGCTTGGAAATAATAGCCAAATGGGACTAGAAATTGGAAGAATATTCCACCTTAGCTTACCATTTGTTCATTAAATGGCACTTAAAATGTAAAAGTAGTTTTTTTCCATTGCCCTTTTTTCACTGAAGTGTGATAAAAGAATCTGTGATCTGCACTTCCTGGCATGCTGCTTCAGTTGAGATTGGCAGCGAACCATAAGCAAGTACTGTGGGAATTTTAATATTTGCTCCTGCCTGTCTCTTTTGGGGAGAATTCACAGCTAGTGCTTCTGACAGAAGAACCATGGCCACTCCTAGGCTTTAATGAACTGACCAGAGGAAGCTCAACCCTTTGACTACCTCAGCTGGATGAGCTGGATGGTCACAGAAAATTTAAGCGAGCTGTCCAGATGTTCTGTGCAGCCACTCACCATAAGCACACTTGCTTATCATAATTAGCAAGAGATAACTAAAGTGATGCTGTTAATTTCTTCTCTTGAACAGATGCATACAACCATTTTCATAGCTTCACTGCTCCTCCAGCGATGGATTGCACTGTGTGCATGCACACACAGTGAGGCTTAGAAGTTCAGTGGAAGAAAATGCCAAAAAACACCACCTACATAACAGCAATTTACCCTCTTTGAAGTATCTCATGCTAGATATCTCATGCCACTTAATTCACTGAGATTGAATTACTCTTCCTAATCTTTCTGTGACTGAAGTAGATGAAGATATATCCAGAGCAATCATTTATTCAGGTTGAGTGACAATTGCAAAGAAAATCAGCACGGCTCTGGGTTTTTGGAGATCAGGACCATCACTGAAGGTTCAACTCCACATTACTGCAGCTCTCAGTATAAAAAAATTTCTAGATTAATGCTGCCTAAGGCATGCTACAGTCTTCACTTTCAGTGTAGCTCTGCATTGTTTCCAGAAGGTGATGCCAGCAGATGGTGCTACCCACTTGTGCCACTGGTGCTGCAGCTGGTGGAGAAGCTGCTGTGAAGCTGTAGCTCTGAATGTTCAGAAAAAGTAGCCAGCTGGGATATCCTGCTTTTCATCTATTTGTTAGTTTATGTAAGAAATCAAAAATTTACTTTTGTCAGCCTAAGATCCTATGAAGGACCCACAAGATTTCTTCTGTCCTTCCTTTCTCTCTCTCCAGCTTGTCTTTCCTACCCTGTCCAAAATCAAAATACATCGGAAGAGAGAAAAAGAGGACTGAAATATACACCTTAAAAAAAAAAAAAAAGAAAAAAAATTTGAAAGAAATTTGAATACCTGTGGGCCAGGTAACCTCACAGCAAAATACCTGAAAGAAAAGGTGAGCTGTCCTGCTCAGAGGCAAACATTTCACTGATTCTGGAATCCTCAGAAAAAGAATGACATTTTCAGGGAAAAACGTGGGAAACCAACAGCTGGGAAACATTTGCAAGCAGGCAGGCATGCTCTGCCTCTTCTCAGGTTGTTCAATGTAGCACTAAAATTTACTTTGTATGAGGCAAATGTGAACATTATAACCATGCCGACAGTATGCAATCAATTCTTTGAGTAATGAAAGGGCTTAAAATAATAGGAAAGCAAGTAAATTATATTAAATGAAAAGCCTAAGTTTGACAATGCAGACTATGTTACAGATCTAAAAAAATCATTAGTTTAAATATTTCAATACTGCATTTAAGTCTTTCAAACAATAACCCTGACCACTGAATGTAAATTAAATTAATAGTGGGAAAATAATTTTCATTTTAGAGCTCTCTATATATAGAAAAAAAATAGAAAATTTCTAAATCATCTTCAGAAAGATCTGAACAAGAGTTGTTAGCAATAAGTAAATGGATGTTCCTGAAGGAGTTTATAAGCCTACAAGTAAAATACAAGTTTCCTAATATCCAAACCTATTTGTACTGAAATACCTCTGTGTAAGAGACTGTGATGTAACAGAGTACTTACTTGTGGAAACACACATCTCATTCCCAATACACACCCAGCTGTCAGCTAGTGTGATCCTAGGCCTTTTGTGAACACCACAAACATTACATTTCCAGAGGAGACAGCTTACAGACGAATAGAGGAAGCTCACACTTTCTCCTGGATGTTGTTTTCTGACATGCAAAGTCTCCTAAAGGCCAGGCCACATGGCTTAGGTGTTGCAGTCCTGGGTTTGGCTGGGATCCTGAAACAGGAGTTACCCAAGTAGGTGGTCTGAGCTCTCTAAACTGACATTTGAAGGGTGTTTTTCTTATGATACTGTATACATGGGATGTCTACTCTTCCGTTTGCTTCGTTCAGTTTCAATGAATGTATCTTGTCCTTATAAAGGGAAACAAGGATCTCTCCCTCTCTGGTTAATCTTCTCGTCCAACCAAGTTTGTCTCCCTTATTTAAATACCAAAGTCTTTCAAAAGGAGACCACGTATCTCGTAACATTTGTACAGAATCCATCAGACCTTTTCCTTGGCTGACATAATTATTAAATAATTTCCTTGGCTATAATACCATCACAGGCATATTTAATAATTAAAATAACGATTTAACTGACAAGGTTGATGATACAAAGATAGATAAGGCAGTCATGAGCACCTATAACAGAAGCCCTCTTTTTAAGTAGTGCTCTATGAGCTTTAAAGCTTTGCACAAGTATTTTCCCTATGTACAATAATAAAAACATGCATTTTTCTTCCGTGCTGCTGTATTAGTGAAAGAGCACAACCACTCCGACTGCCACTGGATCTGATGGCATGAGCACTCCTAGCATCACTGCTTGGATGAAAAATGCTGTCACACTTGATTAAGTGGCAGAGTAAAGCTCATCCACAGAGGAAGGCAAGCTTGAATTAAGAAATATTTAATTGCACAGCCACCTACTGATCTCAGTTCCTTCAGAGGTATGCTGCAACAGGCACCTTAGCAGCATGGGAAAGGTATTTTCATGCCCTGAGAAAAGCAGTCAAAAAGACTGTTTTGTTTTGTTTTTAAATAATACAATCTGGCTTAGCCACAGTGACCAAAAAAGAAGTCAAACAGAGACATTTTCCACTTTATGCAAGTTCTGCTGTGCTTGTGAACACATCCGAAGACCCCAGAGCACATTACAGGCAACTCAGAGGTGCTGCTTTCGCAGGAGTGTGAAAAGGCTCAGAAACATGCACAGAAGTTCACAGAATAGATTATAACACTTGGCTGCCTCTTGCAAACCAAAAAACAAAAACAACAAGTGGAGAAAGCAGAAGGAAAGAAGGAAACAGTATAGGCTACATTTGAAGAAACAAGGAGTTTACTGTCACTTGCAGAGTAATAGCACACAATATTTAAAACAAACAAAACAAACTCCTCTAGAGTCAGAGCCTACCTAGTCAGATTAGATTAGGAAGCCAATAATAAAGGACCGAAAACTGGCAAGATGAAACCTTTTCCGTCTTAACTTGCATTTCAACCCACCCAGCACAGCAAAGGCAGCCCTGGATGATATGAGGAGATGTCAGGTCTTCAAGGTAACTGTCAAAGCTGACTGACTGCTGCATCACTGCTGCTGGATTCGGTCGCTGTTGCCATATTTCATTTCAATTTGAGTCACTGCAGACAACTGCTCAGAAATTCTGAGAAGCTGGATCTGACACTGAGCCACATCAGCCTGCGTGAGAACTGGTGGCCAGCACTTCTGTAGGATAAAGGAAGCGGTGTATCACAGCTCGGTGGAGTTACAGCCAAAGAGCCTTTTGATGTTAGCTAAGCTAATAAGACAGTCAAGTTTCCTCCCCAGAACTTTTTCCTACAGACATCTGGTTTTCAGAGATCTCAATCAGATGAGCTACAAAGAACAGAGGGAAAAGAATAAAAAATTTATATGACAGCTTCTGCCTGGACAGAGAAAATTCTGTAGTCTTAGAACCTTCTCCTGTCTTAAAAAGGAGTGAGGTCCTTGATTGAACTACTTCTGAGAAGCTCCATCTAATTTTAAAGACAATGTCCAAATGCTTGGAAGATGAGAAGAAGCACTGGAAGTCCTAGGAGGAGGAATAAAAGCTTCCTTACAGAAGAAAGAAGTCATTCAGAAGAAGTTTGACTCCTTCTGAATGCTGCTTGTGAATATTCCCGTGATTCCCTTTAATGCTGATGAGGTTCTAGTATAAATCTAGGCTCGACTATACGACTTCTCAACCCAAAAGGTATAGAAGCATGTGCTTAAAAACTGCTAGCAAACTAAAGCTTTCCACCTTGTTAACATCTTATTTCTTTTCTTTTCTTTTCTTTTCTTTTCTTTTCTTTTCTTTTCTTTTCTTTTCTTTTCTTTTCTTTTCTTTTCTTTTCTTTTCTTTTCTTTTCTTTTCTTTTCTCTTTTCTTTTCTTTTCTCTTCTTTTCTTTCTTTTCTTTTCTTTTCTTTCTTTTCTTTCTTTCTTTTCTTTTCTTTCTTTTCTTTTTCTTTTCTTTTCCCCTCAAAACAAACACGCAATCACACGCTCCCAGAGACGTTAGTGGGAAGGTTGCAAGATCCAGCACTCAAAGTTTGGACAAAACAGCCTGGATAACTTTTGCTTGCTTCATTTTATGAGGAGCTCATGCAACCTGCCATAAACCTGTCTCAGAAACTGCCAGTATCTCTGTTGGTCAACTCCTTCATTTCACAGTCTTCCAACATACGCAACTGGGCACTTTTGAAAAAAAGGTTATAATTCTTTCTAAGTGCCCAAAGTAAATGAAAGTTTCTAACTTTTAGAAATGAGACCTCCTATTAAAACATTAATAAGCGTTTTGCAAGAAAAACAAAAGGGAAAAAATGCAATTATCTTTCCAAAATGTACCACTATCATAATACAAATAGATATTTTCTTCTTGTTTTATCTAAAAATGAGGCTCAGCTGAAGAGTTCTCCTGCTCCTCCAAAACAGCAGGTGCTTAAGCCGAGCTTGTCAGCCTATGGTGGTTTCACATCGGTCGCTTTTGGCCCTGACATACTCCATTTGGAGTCAATTTTGATACAAGCCATACAGAGTTTATGTACTGAGGTAACATCCAGTGCTGTCATTTTTCTGTGTAACTAAATGTCAGCAAGAAATAGAATCTAAAATTGGTCTGTAACTATGGCAACTAATGAGCCATTCTAACTTGGAGTCCCCAAATCAGACATGTGACCATCAAGGGATTCATTCCTGTTTTAAGAGGCTGCTTTTCAGAGAAGAAAACACGCAGCTTCTTTTGCTGACATTTGTATTTGAGGTGTCAGCCTACAGCCAGGCTGGAGAGCTGGAGCAGGTTCAGACAAACAGCTAAGAGAAAAACAGCTTCTTTCTTGAACTGGAAGGAAAACCAGCCAAAATATTCTCCCGATGCTAATCACACTGGGTAGAGCTAACACCTAGTTATACTATTACATTTTAAACACAAATCCTGCTCTTCCATTCTGCCATTGGGAGTTCAAGATCTTGCTGCCAGCATGTGGTAGGAGCCAAGGAGAAGAATCCATAGCATGAACGGAGTGCACACTAACATGGTTGCTCTATGTTGCTAGAAATCACGTAGCTCTTTTGCTTCCCCTCACAAGAAGCACCTGAACCATATTAAATATCATCACCACTCAGGCTTTTTTTTTTCTCCAGAAGATAGAATAATGAAGGTAAAATAAACAAGAAAGTAGTTATTAGTTTTCCAGCATAATTTGAAAAGTACATAGTTATTGTTATCAAATAAAGTAGAAACTAAAATGAAATTAAGATTTAAAATAAAGAGTTAGGATTCGCACATATGATATTGAAAGGTTTCTTTAAACAGCTACATCTATGTTCTACAGACGCAGTACAGTACAGATCAGAAGAGAGGATGTCAGGTGTTAGTCAGACTTTTAACGACAAATTTCATGTTCTTACCAATTTTCTTTGAAGATTTAAAACCTAACAAAACAAAACAAAATATACCATTGCTAAATTATTTTGCCAACATGTGTAAACATTACCTGGCACTAGTTTTGAACACTGGCTTTCTTGGGTTAAAAAAATAAATAAATCACAAATTTTAACTCTGGAAACCATAAATGTTATTGTCTTGTAAAAGAAGCTTCATTTGAAACATTAAAATATATCTTTATGATCATAAAATATATATATATACATATATATTTTAATCCTGATTACAAAGGAAAGACTTCTTTGAGATAGCCCAATAAGAGTACTTATTATTATGGGACTGGAGCAATCAGTAAAGTCATAGATACATCAGAAGAAAGAATAACATTTAGCAAACACATTCACAACAGAAAGCGAACAAAATTTTTCTGTGAATTGCAAATCGTGGATTTAAATCAGTAAAGCTGATTTAAAAACAGAACACTACAGTTATATCAATTTTACGGTCCCCACAAGATGTAGTGCTGTACGGTACATGCATGGAAAGAGCAGAGGACACAAAAAATGCAGTGTGATTTGCTGTATAGGACAAGGGCCATCTCTGGTGCTTTGTATCTGTCTCTATATCACACTGTATTTTTGCTAAAGCAGCAAAGCCTTTCTTTGCAGGACACTTCAGTATTCGACATTTAGTGATCGTCAAGAGATGGCAATGTCACACGAGGACTGCCATCAGCACGGTCTGCAGAGGCTACCCAGGTGATTTACTGGAGAAAGGAGAAGTGATCTAAACTAAGTTTTTCTCTTTATCCGAGTCCTCGCTTCCAAACTTGTATTTTTAACAAAGAATTATAGATCTGTATTCGTGACATAATTTGGTGAGGCCACATGTAGCCTGATTCCCTCCCTTTAAAGGCAAGTGATCAACTGGGTCAGGCACAGTGTCTTCTATTCATACAGAAAATGGGACTGTGGAAGCAAAGCTGTAACTCATGAGAAATGAGCAGAGAGATGGACAACAGAAAAAAGCAAGGAAGAAAGGGGATTTGATCCAGCTCTCATCAGATGTTCCTGATACACCTCAAATCACAAGTCACCACCATCAACCAAGGGCTTGAAAAAAAAAACAGCATTACATCCTAGGTGCATCAGAAAAAGCTGTCAGTAAGTGTTAGTAACAAAAATGTATGATGAGGAGTATTAGAAATGGGAAGTAAAAGCTCTGGATGTCTCACACGTTTCTCACCAAGTAATTCACCTTCATCAGGTCTGGGCTCAGCACCAGTAGTAATAGAAATGAACGTACTACACAAAAATAAATGTAAAGCCAGTCTACCTACTAAGCATCATCAGGTCTCCTACTAGTTTACTGGCTTAAAATAAATAAACAATCACAGAAAACTTGCAAAGGCCCGTGCATAGTAAGTGAACACCATGCTGTTTTGTGTGAAGTCGACAAATAGTTACAGCAGGAAAAAAAGTAAAACCAGCTATAAACAGAAAATGCCTGAAGGGCAGCTAAAGGCATGGGAAGATGGCTCTAGCACAGCTAGTGCCAGGGTGGGTACCATGACAAGGCGGCTGCAAGCAGCTTTCAGCAGGACACACTTCTCACCGTTTCTTTTCCTTCCTTCGTCCTTTGTCACTTTTTGTGGTGCCATTACTTTCTGCGGGGAGCTCCGGCTGGAGCTGGGCTTTCCCGACTCGTTGCTGATGATGGAGCCGTTCTGACTCGGGGACTGGCTGCAAGTAACCATAGCAACAAGAGAGGCTGTCAGCTCTTCACAAACCTGCTTTCAAGGTTATTTCCTCTGCACAGCTTGCACCGCTGAGTTTTCAAGTCTGGTTTTGCACCAGAATGAGACAGAATACGAGCTGCATGCACAAAGACGGAAAGGCAGGAGCAGAGTGCTGCTCCTCCGTGAGGGATAAGCATCTTATGTGACAGCAAAAGCAGCCACTTCTTGTGCACAACCCCCACAACACCAGAAGCAGCACTGCAGAGGACAAAAACTCCTGTGATTAATTTAGTGACATTTAGAGAGCTACAATACAGCAGACCCTTGTTTTCATAAACGTGGCTGAACTAATTCCTTTATTACTTAGCCTGCCTTTACACACAACTATTTTCTCAGCCGTAATGCAAAATTATGTGCTCACTTTACGTGTATGCACACACAATGTGAGAAGAGTATTCAGTCGTAAGGAGCAAATTGAGAAAAGCAGGCCAAAGTAGAAGATCGAAACTTTGGTGCTACTCCAGATCCCGGTGTCGCATTGCTTCGGGGCTTGAACAGGAACAAAAGCAGCCCCCAGGACCTGTGTAGTCACTGGTGCACCTACCTGCGATTAATCACTCCCAAGTGGCACAGTCAATGAAAGGATAATGTAAACAGGCTGCATCTCTGGGAAGAAATGGCTTAGTCAAGAGGGCTTTCAGTCACAGAGAGAAATCAAATCAATGTCTATGGCTGTCACAGCGGCTTTGTATTCAGAAAATGGTAGCAAGCCAAAACAACTGTGAAGACCATCCTGCAAATTATTGCTGATTCTGTATCACCAGCTTGAAACATTCATTTACCTCCAGCTCTGACTGTCCTGTCTGGGCTCAATAAAGATCATTTACTGTGGTCAGGAAAGGAAGGGACAAGTATGAGGAAGTCATTCCTAGGGACTCTCTTGAGGATATCCTAGACTGAAATATATATAATTCGACACAGGCTCTTTCCAGATCCATGGATTTAGGAAAACTCAGCATGCAGCCCACCTCAGCTCAACTTGTGGATTTTTGTGTGAAATTCTATTGAGAATAAATATTCTTGAAAAGTAGAATTGCTCCCCAATAGACACATCTGTTACTGCTAATGAACAGTCCCAGTAAATAAATGATTCCAGGTACAGACTAATACCTGAAGAAAAGCTGCTCTGCTTGGGAACAAGGAAAAGAAACAAGTACAGATAGCTTGCAGCATGATTTCTGCTGCCACTGAGCTAAATATTCATCATTTTTCAGTGACCATCGTATTTATTATCTTTTAAGTTCCCACTGGTAATAATATCCGAGAATGTATACTGACCAGTTACCAGCCACTTCACACTTCCGAACAGTCTGCTTTAAATTGACCTTTCCAGACTGCTGAGTAACCAGGACCAAAGAGCAGATACATAAAGGTCAAGAATTTTTTCTTCATCTTAAGAACCCATTCAGTTCCATCCCCAGACACAGCTGATGGGGACGAAAAGAGACTAAATTTCTGCATGTTCTCACTTAATCACGTAACCACCCCAAAGGAGATAAAACTAACTCCGCTAGTACTGTTTGCTTAGGAAGGTAGCAAAGAAGTATCACAGGCTCAATACATTTTTATAGACAGGGTAATGCTCCTGTGAACTCCTGAATCAAGTCTGCTAACCAACATTTGCCTTCAAAAACAGGCAGATTAAGTAGAGGGGAATTTCTACACTCATTCCAAGGACTGAGCGAGGTGCCTAAGCACTTTTTTTAGACAATTAACTAATAGAGCTGCTTTATATTTTCTGTGTGTATTTCCACGTGGCTTTGAAGAGACTTCAAAACATGTTACAAAGCAGTTCCTGTTATTAACTGAGGTAGCACAGCACCAGCAGGTGAAGCTGGTATAACAGTGATCTTCCATTTGCCACTTTACCAGAGAACAGAAGACCAACAGGCACAAAGTCCACTTTGGTTGACATTGAGTGTAAAATCTGATCTTCGTGGTTTGAGCGATTTATGGCATGAACAACACACCGCTGACATTAGAAGGACAGAATAACAGTTTCCATGCAAAGCAACTACAGCAACCATAGCAATTCTCACCTGGCTTACTCTTCTCTTTTTATCCTACCTCCAAATAGTATTGCAGGTGATTTACTGTACAACCAGACAAACACACCAAACCTAACGTGCCAGCTCAGTAGCCTTCTGTTTCCCTTCTCCTGTAGGGAAAACCTCAGCGTATCACCAACGAGAAGGTTCACCCCTCCAAGAAGTGCAGCAACACCAGGTGCTCCAGCCCCATGCTGCATGGGCTGGCACCTCGAACAGCTGCAGGCAGCCTCAGTGGCTTTCAGCGACAGCACACAGAAATGTTGTACTGAGTTTTCCAAGCTTTTCTGTTACTCCTACAGGGCAAATATCATTGTGCATTGACATGTGTAAAATGAGGTGACTCAACTACAAAGATTTAATTTTCTATAGGATTTCTCTGCTCTAAACACATAGCCTTCTTTTATGTAATCAAATCCCTCCAAGAAGCAAGGACCCTTAATGCCTGTGAACTAGAAAACAACCTCATGCTGTTTACTGCATGGTTTTATTTTTCTCTCTTCCCTTCAGTATCATTCTTCAGCAATGGCAATAAAAAGCTGATGATCCTCTGCTCCAAATTAATTTCAAGGACAACAGGTCAAGGAAAATTGGACTTGAAACATGCAAAACACCTGAGGTAAAGGTATAATCTGCTTCCTTGCCTGTCATGACTGAGATAAGAAATACTGACCTAATCGTTTCTCTGAGAATGATTCAGGGTAGACCTCAGGTAAAACTTTATAACGAGAAAGGCAGCAAAGAAGATTCTCAAAGAAGCTATGATGATCACACCACTGGAAGACTTTAAAGAAATGTAAAGAAATTCAGGCAGGGGTATATTTGACAATGCAGTGGAGAAGAGCGAGGGTCAGGTAACTTCCCAGGGAGCTTCTAATCTGTGTTCCTACAACCCTGTAGACTTTGAAGAAACTGCTAACCTGAGAAACTTTACTCTAGACACTGATGCCATCTAGTCTGCTCTAACTTGTCCTGCTATAGACACTCTAAATCTAGAGGTCTTGCTTTAATAACATAATTCAGTGGACATTTAGGGTTTGCTCTTCAGCTAATGAAGACACTGGGTTCAGTTCTGGACTGATGCAGTCTGTCCGTGGAGCTACAGCAATTTACAGTTGCAGAAGTCCTGCCTTTTGCTTCATTTGAGAAATGATCAGTGTTCATGCTCCAGATCCAATGTTTATTTCAGGTTCATTGCTTGTACAATGCCAGAATGCACAAGAGAGCCACTTCCCATTTACCTCCTCTAACCACGTACAACCCGTGAAGATTTCACTTTATTTTATCTTGTATTTTGCAGCAATCGTACCCATCCAGTGCAGACAAATGTTACGCCAAGAATATATTGCGGAGGAACCATCTGTCACACACAGAGCCTGGGTGCCAAACCTTACAGTTTTTCCCAAGCAACTGGCAGCATGTACCCCATTTCTGCACAAACCTCTGCAGACACAGGTAACTCCATACCTTTTCCTTGTTTCGTTGGATTGGGCAGTTTTAATGGTGCTCCCATCCTGAGTAATTTCTCTCTCCTGGGAGGCAGGAGCATCTCTCACTGCGAGTGGAAGTACGACGGTCTCCTGAGTTACAGGCAAAACTTCATCTTCAGCTCCCTGCTGCCCTAAGTGTTGTTTGGCGTAGTCGAAGCCTTGCACTGGCTGAAAAAAAAATAAATAAAAAAAAATAAAAAGAAAAAAAGGTGGGCAAAAAAAGTTTCCAGCATGTGTCATATGTTAATACAAAATTTCCAACTGAATATATAATTTCCTCTCTCCTTTAACTTCTTTAATTAAATAAACTAGAGGTAAAAATGTGTAGATTACAATATGAATGCCCAACAAAGCAGTTTTTCTGATGAGATCTCCATTCCATGTATTTTAAACATGATTAATTGGAATTAAATTGATCTTGGCTAACCTTTCTTTTGCTGCCTTAACACCCCCAGAAATTCCTCTGACAGACAATGGAAAAATGAACACAAAAAAGAAGATATTAGGAAGGAGAAAAATAAGACCATACAGAAAATGGAAAACTTTGTCTATGAAACAATCTTGTGTTTGCAAAGGAGGTGGGAGTAATTTATTCCAGATCAAGACAAAGCAAAATAGGCACAAATAGAGGTTTCATGGGCAAATTTTTCCCCAAAAAAGATCCTTTTCAGGACAGTGAAATTACATTCCCCCTGGCTTGTAAGTTGCCTACTGAGAAGGTTCTTACTGATTTCACTTGTTTCTCTTGGGAAGTGGCATTCACAAGAGGCTTGCAGCCCAGCAGCTGAGGGCTGCGTGCCCAGGCTCTTCTAGCCTGAAGCCACGGCTGTGCTTTTCCTGCTGCCTCTGCAAGCGAGAAGCAGAAATGACAAACGTGATCTGGGCAATGCAGCCACCAAATGTGGATTCTCCCAGCGGAGAAATTAAATCATTTAAGCAAAACTTAGCTTTCCAAACCGCGTTTTTTATTGGGGGGAAAAAAAAAATCACTCAAACCAACTCAGGAAAAAATATGTGTATCAGAACAATGTCAATTCACCATCAGTACCCCATGGCAAGTCACGATGCTATTGTCCCTGACAGAGCCGTCTGCTTGCCTCCTCTGAATGCAAGGTACTGCAAAAGCAGCCACCAAATTAACTATCAAGGGAGGAAACGAGGAAAGGAAGCAGAAGCTGTGTGAAGGCAGCTAGGAAGAACTTACTGCACGCTATCCCAGAAAACAATATCTTTAACCAAAATAATATTTTTTCAGCCTCATTATCTATATTAACTGTTAGTCAAGACCATCACAGTTATTCTCCAAAACAGGGAACAACACAGAAAAGCTGATGAAATCAGGTATTTCTCCCTCCGTGCCTTTCAAATAGTAGAATTTACAACTTTTAATTCATATCTTATTTAAAGCAAAAATTAGCAAAGCCAGAACGTGAGAATTTTTACAGAACTCTACGGAGTCCCAGCTTGGATGTGCCAAAGGAAGAAAATGAAGGATTATTTTAATCTGAGTTCTACTTACCACCATGCCTGGTAACAAACTGCATTAAAAATGAATAGCTGAAAAAGCCATCCTCATCAGCGGACATATTGCGTTAAATAAAATTTGATCTTGGAACCCTGCTCTGAGAAAGCCCACAGGAACAGATGGCTTCACCACCCCTGAAGGGAACTGGCAAGGCTGAATCACGATCAGGCACTGCTAAAGCACAGCAAGCATAGGTGTCCAATAAGGCCACAGTACTGAGAAAGACCGAAGGAGAGGGATTTGAATATTGATTTTGAAATAAATGAATGATCAGACAATTAAATTACGCTGTCTGGCAAAGGGCAGAATGAATACAGGGAGTTTTCTGGGACATTTTTTTTTTCTCTGTAGCAATCACAAAAAAGACACTGATATTTAACTAAAAGGAAAGAAAAGAACAAAAAAGGAAACAAAGGAGAAAAAAGTAAGTTTACTCCCTCCTTCTGCATATACCCATGTACACAGACAGACTCTCTAATCTTTTTTTTTTTCCCATGCCCTTTATCAAATTGATAGTGGCTTTTTTCTCATGGCCTGCAGGATTTGCTTTTGCTTGGGGGTCTTAGACTGCAAATCTTATCTCTGTTTACCTGCAAGCTTATATTTTCATGCGCTAAAAGAAAGGAAAGGTGACAAATCAGATTACAGCCTTTAAAAAAAAGCATGCTGTGAATTTGGAAACAAGAAAGGTAAAAACTAACATCTATCCAAAACCTCAAAGTAAAAAGAGTATCTCAAAACAAAAGCAGCATTTAAAGAGCATTAAAATAAATTCCCATCAGAATTCTGCCCATTTGCCTATGTACTACTTTTAATTTTGCAACTGGAAAGTCAATTGGAAAAAATGGTAACCTTGCCATTTCCCTTCAACTTCATCCAGATGTCACTGGCTGCTCAGTCAGTTCCAAATGGCAACATAATGCAACATAATTCTTAAGACATTATAAACTAACCTGTACATGAGAGGTCATTTTTTAAACTTTACTGATTTCGCCCTCAGTCTGTTACAACAGCAATGTCATTTCTAATTTACCAGGCAGAGGCAGCAATCCTGCTGTTACAGCGTAGCTCCCTTCTGCAGAACGATATAGTGCTGGGCGTTTCATTACCCCTCTGTGCTGTGCTCACGCATCCTGTCCTGCTGACATGGGACAGAGTCCCCGAAGGGCAGTGGCAGGCAGCTCTGCTCTGCAAAGAACTGCAGCGTCCCTCTGCTCGCAGCAGCAGCAGGACTGCAGCGCCGAACAGGCAGCTCTGCTCTGCCAGCTCCCCTGCTACGGGACTTTGGAAATAGAAACACCTCTCAAAACAAAACCAGCTGAAACCCAAGGCTGTTGGTATCCCATAACACTCTCTTCTCTATACAGTTTACTGTATGTTCTAAAGGCATCATAAAGCTATTGCAGTGATTCAACAGCAAGACTCAGGCTCACAGAAAAAAAAAAAAAGTAAAGCTGTTCCTTAAACTAAAAATCATGCTGCTGTGGCTCCACTTCCAGAACAGATTTAGCATTAATCAAGCAGTCTCAGGCACTTTTCTAAGCAATGAAATATATTATATTTATTTTAAATGTGATGTAGATATGTCATCATCCGCTATTTGTATTGCCAAACTGCATGAAATGAAGAAATTACAGCTCGAGTAATTACTGCTGTTCCTGATATAACTAATGCTGGAATTAAAAATAAAACTTTTCTTTTCAAAATGACCTTATTGCATTATCTTCCCAAAATACATTCCTTAGCCTTATTTTAAGTAAAGATGCTGAAATCAGGACAGACCAAGCCAGACCATTCCCACCCTGCTGCAGGATTTATCTCCCGTGGTCCATATGCCCGCATCTACCCTAAGCTGGGTCTGGCTGAACCTTTCTGATGGAACCATCTTTGCAAAACTAAATAGCAATCAATTTAGCTTTCATTTCAAAATGCATCACTATCTCTATAATGATATATCTCTATATTTTATGGAGTCTCAAAATGTACCAAAAATGACCTGCATATGTACTAGCACTTTAGCTTGGATCAGGAATGGACTTCTGAAGCGAATCTCCAAATTACCTTCACTGGCCACACTTTGCTTCACACCTCAAAGCTCACGAATCTCCTTTCAGATAAAAGAAAAATGGGAAATGTTACTCTAGAAGTGGGTCTACTGTACCGCAGTTGCAAATCAGAATCATAGAATGGTTTGGATTGGCAGGGACGTTAAATATCTAAATACCTAATAAATATCTAAATATTTAAATATCTAATCCCAACCCCGTGCCATGGGCAGGGACCCCTCCCACCAGACCAAGTTGCCCAAAGCCCCATCCAGCCTGGCCCTGAACAATCCCAGGGTTGGGGCATCCACAGCTTCTCTGGGCAATCTGTACCAATGTCTCACCAGCCTCAGAGTAAAGACTTTCTTCCTAATATCTAACGTAAACCTACCCTTTTTTAGTTTAAAACATCACTCCTTGTCCTGTAACTCCACTCTCACTCTGACAAAGAGTCCCCTTCCTGAGAGCAAATGTGCGGTAAAATCTCCTGAAATGAGTATAGCGTGGATGCTGGCAGCTCAGCACCAACTGTTTTGATCTGAAGATTAAACTCCTGTGTGATGACATTGATTGCTAATGTAAATTTAGCCTGACTGAACAAGTTTCCACCTGACCACCTGTATTACAGCCTGATTAAATTCTGGTTTCTTAGGGAAAAATCCAAATTTGACATTCTCTTTCTTTTTGGAATGACAGCTGTGGAATACTAAAACACTTTCAAGTTCTTTGCTGTAACCTCTGCCAGCAGTCTTTTGTTGTTGATGTTTTTTGTTTTGTTCTTTAATAGCAACTTTGTTCCACTGCACAGCATCCCATAATGATGGCCAGCTCAAAACAATGTACTATGCAGTTTCACTTTGCATGTCAGCTGGTAATAAGACTGCATATAAGAAGAATTAAATGTTGCACAGTATTTGCAGTAACCCCTAATAAAGTAGGATCTGTATTTTAGACATTTCTATGGGCCATTATGTGATATCACTGCAGTGGGATTAATTTTTGTCACATTTGCAATATTACTTGTTTCAGTTTTTCAGATATAGTCTTAACACTAGTTTGATAATGTCAGATAAGTAGATGAGCATACTGTAAATGAATGAAAATGTCTTTTCTGTATCATTTTGGATAAAAATGTCTTTTTCCAGCTGGCACCAGCTGTACCCATCTGCAACTAAGCTAAGCTTAGGAGAAAAGACCTGTCATATGCATCCTTCAGCTCTCCCTCCAATTTACATTTTTCAGCACTAGCAGCAGCGAAGTTGAAATCACAATAAGCCTGCTGTCTGCAGCATTAGCAAACAAATGAAAAAAAATTTCACTTCAATCCCATGCCAATGAAAAAGAACAAAGCCAACTAAAAGGGTGAAGGTACAGTACGACTAATACACACACCCTGTGGATACAGACTCCTAACTTTGGCTGGCCCTGTCTAAGAACACCATTGCGAAGGCAGACTTTTTCATTACAGAAACAAAATACTATTCTGTAACATATTTCTGCTAGATAATCAAACTGGAAATGTATTTGATTTGAAATATATATATATATATCCTTATATTAGGCTAGTAAGTTTAAGGAAAATGTCATTGTTTGAACCCAATCAACAATATCCACAAATAAATTAGAAAGTTCAGACCATCTAAAAGGGAAATAGCATTCAGAGAAATTTTCTGAAGAATTAAAAAAAAAAAAAAATCTCTGAATTACCAGCTGGATGGAGCACTTCTGACTGGGACCAGGTCTGAACTACTGCCAAAGCCCACAACTTCAACTGTTGCCACGCACAGTGCATAGAAGCAGCTCAGGCCACGGGTCTGAGAATGATATTCTAAGGCAGAAATGCTGCTGACAAGACCTGGGTGTGATATTCCATGTCCTAATCTGTACACCAGCTTCGTGAAGGAAGCAACTGTCCTGATTATAGCCTACTTAGCCCAAATGACAAAGTGCTTTCCATCATTGTGTAGCAGCTACTCTGTCACACAGCAAATGTCAAGCTGTGAAGTAATCTGATGAGTTCTGAGTAGAACAGAAGGGTAATTGCTCTGACCAGAGGTATCAAGAACAGACAAGTCCAAAGACGCAACCTGTGAGCTGTGACCACTTGAATTCCAAATATCCTTCACTTGCATCTAGCAGAGAATGAGTTAAAACTTCAGAAAGCAAAGGGGTGTCTTGGATCCGGAGATCAGTCACTCACTTTAGCTCTTTGAGGCAGGTTCATCATGGTGTCCGGTTTGAAGTCATTCTTGTTTTTCCTGCACAGAACTGCCGTAATAATAATGATGATAACCGTAACCACAGCAATGGGAGCCAGCACTGCTGCAATGATCCACAGGTTGTTTGGTGGGTTCTTCACCACGGCTATAGAAAATTGCAAAAACTGGTAAGTTTTACCATGTAAATGAAAGATTCAAGTTGCTTCCAATAGTGTCTTCAGCTGCCTATAATAATTAGTATAAAAGGATTGTTAGTAACCTAGCTATGCCTTTGTATTAATTAAATTAAAAAAATGTATCATACTGTTCAATTCACAAATATCTGAGTTCTCTTCTTTAGTTAGTTATAGCCAGCTGCAAAACTAGCCATCAGCTCCCAAGTTAGATATCACTCAAATATTAATTTACAGAATAAGCACAGACATACACACATAAAAAATAGATGCAATTAATACATCCTTAAATACTTTTCAAAACAAAACCAGCTTATAGTAAGACAGCATGATAGCATGTGTGTTGTAAGTGTACACAGGGAGTCCATACCTCGTGTCACAGACTTGCAGGCTCAGCAAGAATAAATTGCCTCAGCTTTGAGACAATGAAGTTAAGAACACTAACAGTTATTACTGACATCAATAGGCAATAAGAAAATGCTTCTCTCGTGCTCTAGAAATACTTTGTCATAGTTAAGGTCAAAATGAATCCATTATTTCTAAAGGAAGAGAAGGGATGAGGTTGGAAAGAGCTATTTGCAGATATATTAATAATGGCATGAGGAAAAGGGTACATTTCAGAAATGCGGTGGTGCTTAAATGTTTTAGACTCCTTTTCATCAGAATAAAGTCCCTTAGTATGCATGCTCAACTCGTACACACATAAACGATCCTCCTGTGACACAACCTCAGTTCTCACTACATTTCTTTCTGGAAAAACACCAGATAATCTCCTTATGATTCTGTGTGTGCTTCACTGAAATATTTTGTGGACTTCAATATACCTTCTCTCTTTATCTTCCTGTGCTACTGGTTACTGGCATGGATAGGCAATTGTGAACAAACCAATGTACAACAGCCTTTCCTACTTCCTTGAGGACTAGTGCTTTCAAATGTCATTGCACTTATTAGCTGTCAGTGGCACACAGCATCTCTCAGGATCAGACTTTGAATGCACACCATCTTGCTCAGCAGCAGCTATGAAAGCCAGCTGAAAGTCCTTTTGAAGGTTGAGTCCCTCTTCTTTGTATATCTGCAACTTCTTGCAGAGCCAATACAATATTGGGCTAGGCAGGAATAGCACCATTAGGTACCTAACAGCAATTGTATGCTTAGAGACTCTCTAAAACCCACGCGAAACCCCAGGATTAAGTAACCTTTCAAGGTTCACTTCTCAATGAGCTTATATAATTCTAAATTAATGACCCTGGACATGTAGTTTGGCAATGAAAGAGCTGTGGGGAAGGAAAGAGAATCTGAATTTCATCAGACAACAATAAGCATAACAATAATCACAGACTGCTGTTGCATAAGCAGAAAACAATTTTTGAAAAATCATAACTATTCTTTGGAGAGAACTCAGAAGAAACAATGGCCTTATGACTAATAGGACAGGCATTTTGGAATCCTAGTTTGCATCTTTAGTTCAGTTACTGGTTTGCAATGTGACCTTGAATAAGTCAATCCACAATTCATGCTACTCCACAGGATGTCGGTGGATTTCAAAACAAGCCTTTCATTTTGCTATAGCTCAGTCCCTCACTTAGGGAATGGTAACATCTCTATTTTTTGTTATTACTCATCTGTCTTGTCTAACCAGACTACAAGCTCCTGAGGGTAGATGTCTTTTCTTACTGCATTTTGGTACAGAGCTTTTCATTCTGCTATAACAGAAATTATAATGAGTAAAAATGAAATGCACACAAAGTATTTTCTTTGGGAATACAAAGGCAGACTACAAACACTGTGTCTAAAATGAAACAAATTGATTTATTTTTTTTTCTCTAAAAAGGTATAAAGGTAGTTCTACTTCCTACATTTCAAATACTCTGGCTTCACAATCTCAGTTAACCAAGGCCGTAATTTCAATTTCTGTAAGTTTTGTTTATAATATTCTATGCATGTTTAACTTGTATGAAAACATGCAGTTGAATGAGGCTGCCTTCTCAGACCATGGAAACACAAAGTTAGATCATCATCATCAGCTGTCATATAATTATCTAAACACCCATATAGATCATAAAACTGCATGAAGAGTTATAAAGCTGCTATACATTTCCTACAGCTATTTTAGTAAAAACAACACTAAGAAATACTGTAATTGAAAACAAATTAGTTTGGAATTTAAATGCCAGACTTTATGAAGACGGGAATGGAGATCTGGGGTTTTAGTCCAGTCAAAGTCAATTACAGACCGTAATCAAATCAAGAATCAGGTACAATATTGTGCACTCCCTGGAAATGATATCGTACTTAAGTATTCTAACTCAATCATATACTTATGGATGATACATCAATTACTTATTACAGTGGTTCCTTCTTTTCCTATCACCATTACGTGCAATTATTTCAGTATCACTGCTCCTCTAGGCAGAAGAGATGGCTGAAATAATGGACCCTGGAAGTCCCATTTTATACACTTTTTAGCCAGTAAGGAGACCCAGTATGGAAACCCAAATAATAACTTTAATTCCACCTGGATAAACATCTTGGAAAAGTGGAGAGATTGTTAAAGACATCAATTCATACATTAAACTGTTATTTAAATAAAATAGAGAAATTTCAAAAGGACTCTTACGATCAGCTTGAACTTGAATCACATAACCTAACGTCAAGGCCATTCGCTGGGAGTCAACAGTACTCAGGATTTTGGCAGCTGCAGTGCCCAGCAAAGGTTTGCCATTGTATAAAGTATAGTACGTCAGTTCCGCTGGCTCCTTGGGTCCTGGAATTCGTTGGATTTTAACCATCTTTCAAATAAAAAAAAAAAAAAAGAGAGAAAGAAATTAATTTCAGTTGTATCATATCATCAGAAAACCAGCAAGAAGCTACCTGAAGGCAGTGCACAGAGTCTGGCAGACCCAATGTAAGCGTAAGCGCCATGCAAATGGCCTCAGAGGAGCAGAGCTTCCTCTCACCACATCCCAGTGTATTAAAATTAGTGAGGACTGACTGCCTTCATAAAAATCCTTAAACATAATCCTAATGTAAACTCCTATACAAGGAAAAGCATGCAGTAAAAAAAAGGAAAGGGCATTAGAGTCCTCTGTAAAGAGGGAATTCTTAAAATCGGTCCTCATGTTGAAAGCTACACTTTACCGGCACATTGCAGTTCAAAAATTCCCTCACATTTTACTGCTACATTCATTATTTTTGATCCCAGGCTAACAATAAAAAGAACCACATTTTCTCAATTTTATTCAGCAGAACACCAGCAGAATTTTAAAATTGTACCTCTTCCTTTTTTTTTTTTTTTTTTGAGATTCCTCTCCATTATGTTGAAGCCTAAAATATGTCATATTTTCACAGAGAATTTTAAAAGGTTCACAATTCCCATAAATAACAATGTATTTCTTTTAAAAATTCTTTCATTGGAAAATACACAGAATTGTGGGCAAATAAGAAAAGTGGAAATTTGTTTTTACATAATGTGATCTATGGACATCTAATTTGATGACTAACCATGTATAAGGACTGCTTCATACATTTTTTCAACAAAAAGAAAAAAGTTCTGCCTTTATTGATGGAAGAGCTAGGAAACTTCTTTTTTTACCCCTTAAGAACAAAAAGTCAGAACTATTCATTATTTCCAATATAAGACTTTTTGATAAAATATGTATATTGTATTTATCTTCACAGGAACCGAAGGCAAAATATTTATTGACACTGATTAACTAATGACAGCTTTTAGAAGATGAGAGGCATGAAAACATGTCTGACTTTAGAAAAAGGAATTCATTAGTAACGCCATGCAGATTGCATTCACTGCTTTAGTGTTGATGAAAAAAGACAGGAAACCTCAACCCGGTTCGAGTTTTCCGCACAAATTCAGGCTGTATGCATCCAAACAAAGCGCTTTCCAAAACATGTCTAGGTGTAACTGATGTTGCATCAACCACCTGTACAGTGTAGCTGCCCACAGTGGTGGCACGTTTAAATCGTCTTCCTTGCTGATGGGACATCATGAACAGCGGGGCCAAGCGCTGCTCCATCAGCCTTGCAAAGCTCTGGTTGTTCAGTCCCAGCAACGCAATATCAACCCCTTGTATAACTGTGGGAATGGAGAAAAGCAAACATCAGCACATCTGACACCGACAGGTTAAGTAACACATGGTTTGCAGGGCTGTTTGACAGGGAACAGCTAGATTAGAAGGAAAATAACTGGAAACTCTTTCAGTAGAGAAAGATTCCCAGCAGGGATATACTGTGCTTCTGTTTCAGTCACTGCACTGTGCTTCTCAGGTAGTGCCAAGGATGTTTCAGAGAATAAAATCCTCCAAAAACATTCTTAAGCTTTTAGTTTACCAAAAGGTCTTACAAAAGCACCTAATCTGTAATCTCCCATGTAAAAAGTCAGTGAAAACCTGTTTGAGAGCTGTCTGATTTGATGCTTGTCAGAGGAACAGTTGTTAACTAAAAGTGCTGTTAACTAAACAACGCTTTTTTTTTTTATCCAGCAGTTTTGAAACCTGCAGTTAGAATTTTGTACAACTGTTTGGAAAAAAATATTACTTGTTCGAGAGCACTGAACAGACATTTCGTAAGTGCTAATGGATGTAAAATAAAACGTACGCTGAATTTACATAGTTCAAATACAGCATGCTAATTTAGTTCACATATGTGTATGATTTCTCAATATTATTTAAAAATTCATTTGGGAACATCTTTTTTTTTAAACAACGCTGTTTCTATTGTAATACCAACAGTATTCCATTACAGTAAGTGCACGAAGGCATGAAATGGAGTATCAGGTTCATGGGGTCCATGTGGGGGGAGCCGTACTTCAGAGGATGACAGTCTCTTCATGTATTTACTTTTAACCTCAAAATTAGGAATAGATGTAACAGAAACTACCAAGTCACACTGGATATTGGAAGAAGACTACAGAATCCAAGCCATTTCATGTCACATTTCTTATCCTTTGCTCTCCTGAGCATTAAACACAATGATAACACTCTTGTATCTACTGACTCGATGGTGTCTGGGAAAGGGGGTCTCCTCCCTCTTGCCCAGTCAGCACTTCTAAAGTCAAAACGATTCTGAACGACAATATGATACTAGTGACATGATTGTGATAAAGCAAGGATTTTGAAACTTAGTAGCATTGCCTGCACCTTTTTTTTCCTGTAAACACGAAGTTATATGTTTAATGCTTCAGGTGGAAGATGCAAAAATTCCTGGACCCAGACAGAGTCAACAAACGATAACAAACTTTCCTTGGTTTAACAGATCACCTTTCTTCCTCTGTAATATCTACAAGCCTCTTTTGTTTTCAGATGTAAATCTAAATCCCAGAAACAAACAAACAAAAACTCTGTGTTTTAAATCGCTGAAAAGACAATGCTGCGCTTGTAAATGCTTAAACCCCGGAATGGCATCAATTTTGAGGCATGTGTTGAATGCAGGAGATTCCTGCGCTTAAGGTGACAACTCACAGTTATGTCCAAGAGTAACTTAAAATACATTTGCCCAGCTGAATGCAACAGAAAGGGTCGGTGGACAGTTATTTACTTTGTATAAAATTACTGCATAGATGTGCTTATATAATTAAACACTAAAAATTATTCTCTCAAGTGCAAGGAAGATTAAAAAGTACCTGTGATCACCCAGTAGTCTCTAGTTGACTCTGAGACATCAAGGTTTGGATACTCCAAAGCTTTAAAATAAAAGTTGACATTATTTCATAACATTGCAACATCCTACCATGTCCTTAAACAATATGGTTCATCAGACACTGATAAATAAGTTTGAACTACGGCTTTTCTATGAGCATTGTACTACAAAGGACAGTACCATCCAGCCCAGGAAGAGATCTCGAGGCATCATTTTCAGGATTACAGTTTCTCTTCTGTCTGGAAAAGGGCAAGGAGTGTAAACAGTATAGGTCCTGTACCACACAGGATATGTATCTTCTGCTGCTGAAATACTGTCTAGTACATTTTCTGAGGCAATGCTAAGTGTTGCCCATTACTGAAGATGATCCATGATACGCATGTCTCTGTGCTGACATACATCTCTGCTGCTTTCTCCATGCGAGTAATCAGCTGGTGGAAAACAAGAGGACTTTCCACCATGATTCTTGTGAGTTCATCCTACTTAAGTCAGACCACAATTTCAACATAAAATAGTATTAAATAAAATAAACAAGTGCCAGCTTCCACCAATCTCAGTTCAGTTTCACATGAATTATAAACGAGATTAGTAGAACTGTGAAAACACCCTGAAGTGAGGGTGCAGGCACATTAAAAGCATGCAGGTATTACTAGCATATGTGCTTACAGCTGTGAGAGACTGATGTTTGCAATTTTGATGCTTTTTGCAAGGTTTTTAATCTCAAAAGTGCATTAGGCTGTAAAGTTTAATATGCTACTAATTCATTATACACATCAGCATTTTTTCAATAGATTTATGCAAAGTGGAAAGCATTAATATTTGGTACTTAGTTCAGAAAATATACGTGCTTCCCATGTTGATACACTGCTATTTAGTTACCTTGATTTTTAAACTCCAAAGTGGTTTGAAATAGTAAACACAGTACAACATCTGATTATGCACAGTAAGTGCTTTTCAGAAGGAATTTCACTGTGAGTCCTGAGCTGTGCATTTCCATGATAGACTGCAAGGGCTCTGAAGGAGCCACCAGAGTCTAGGAGGAAATTGTGTGGTCTGAAAATGACAACAATATTTATTTGATGAACTGAAGCCATCGCACCGCCACGTGGATAAGCATAAAACACTTCTCGAAGTAAACATTTTCACAACGCATGCCATCGATCTCAAAGCCATAAATACTTTGCACACATTACGATCGTGCATTTGCTGTGTACCTGCTGCACTGGGAATAAAACCAAGAACTCCAGAATGAGCTATAAGCCATTACTTGTCACAGGAGCACTCGCTAAAGGCTCTATTGTGTCAGTTCATCATGTATGGGGATCAGCAGAGAACTGCAGTACTACACAAGACTCTTCATACGTGCCAAATGTCTTCTACAGCTCCTGACTACTGAGCACATGCCTATACTGCTCTTACAAAAAGCACCATAAGCCTTTTGCCCATTCTGGAGACAAAATAATAATAATAACCCAAGCACAGGCATCAGCATTTCCTAGGACTTACTCCTTGTACTCCTGCATGCCCTATGAGGACAAGTCCTGCACGCAGGGCACTCTGACAGGCTCACTTGCGAGCTACAAATAGGAAGGAGTCTGTCTCATGATGAATGGTCCACAGCCCTTCCTAGCTCCCTGCACACAACATTCATCAACAGCCTCCCTTCTACTTCCCCTTGCTTGTGGAAAGAACTGGTGAAAACACACGCTAACCCAGAGATGCCCCTTTCTTGGAATGGAAAGTCTGATTCTGAAGTGCACCAGTGCAGCAGCAGAACTCACCACCAGGCAGTTTCACCTACAGGCATTTGTCTGCAAGCATCTGATGTGGATAGGTAACGTCTCAAGAATATTTCTTCCTTCTTTCTCAAGGATTTTCATAACTACCAGAGTTAGCTGTGATTTCTGCCCTCCTTGCACTGGAGAGGGATCACATACCCCCCAGACAGAGGACTGCTCATTGGGCGAGTACCTAATGAAGAACTACACGAGATGATTACTCTGCAGCTGGGCTGCTTGTAAATAAGACATATTGGTCATACTGGCAATTTGTACTTTCCCCAGCGCTCACTTTTCCGCAGTCTGGTTCTGATCGTTCTTAGAATCAGAAAATGAACAAGCACTTTGCTAATTTTACTTGAAGCTACAAATCCACTCAGCTCAGTGTTCTGATCCTGAAGGCATGTTTGGCTCTATCCTCATACGCTCAATTATTTCAATGCTTGTGAAATTAAAAATTACAAACTACTCTGTTAATGATGTAGCCTTATCAGTGAATTTGATGGCTACCAGATCTTTACTGCTATTTGAGCACAGTACATCAAATTTAACAAGTATCTCCTGAAGATTTACACACTGTGAGATCAGCTGAAACCTGCCCTCACTTAACCTGGGTCCACTGCCATGAACAAATGTACGCATTACATCTCTGTCTCTTCTCACTTCCATTGAACACTGATCTCTTCCAGTGAATGGATAACCTGTCACCACAGCAAGTTTAATTTCACAAACTGAGTATCGCAAGCAGATTAAACAGAAATCACCATAATGAAATTTCTAATCTCTTTATTCTTTTTAAAGAAATGAGCACACCAAGTGTCAGTGAGCATATATACCATCCAGGCTACCCAGACATACGACTTCCTTTAGCTCTCTGTACCTCTGACTCTTCATAACAGTGGAAATGCAAGTGAATCATTGAAACTCAAGTGCTAAGACCACACTGGAAACTGGGTATGACACTCAGCAAATGCACAGATGACTTTCAAAAAGGAGCTATGTAGGCAGAACTCACCCACTACCCAAACATGCTGGCATTCAAAGCATGCTAACGAGTCATGTTACTGGACCAAGTACTGGGGGCTTGGTCTTTCAAATAGTAAAGAGCTAGGCTGAACTTTACGTGCTATACCGAGTCCCTGTGAAACAGCGAAGTAGGAAGATTAAGTTTTGTTTCATATAAAACTACATTTTACTTTGTCTGGAAGTCATCACTGGCTTTTTATTAATATATATTAATGGCAGCATACATGCGCTGTTTTTAAATTATCTGACAGTGTTTCTAACAGCTGAAGTAGACATTGAACCAAAGCAAAAGAAATACTGCAAATTCCCCTCTTTCTTCTTATTTTTTTTTAAAAAGCATTAGTCAGGAAAATATATACAGTCTGTAAGCTTCATGACAAAGCTTATAGTGCCTGTAAAAGCTAATCTTAGAGGCGTGTGTTGAGAAGCACATACTTACATTCTGCAATGGTGAGAGGTGGGTAGGTTAGATAGAAACCCACTAGCTCAGCTGACAGCTGATTAAGAAGGTTGCTGGAAGTGGTGCCATTTAAAGTTGTGCTTTGATTTCTCACCACATAAAACAGAGTGACAGCTTGGGAGACATTGGAGGTATTCAAAATCTGAAACAGAGGTACAGAAACAATGTGAAGTCACGTTTCAGCTCAGTAAAAATTTAAAAAATAAAAGTAAAAAGAGCAAACAACAAACCGGGGAGATGTTAACTTGAATGATTGACCAGACACAGCTCGCTCAACATTACTGTGTAAAACAATTTGTGGTACTTTAATTCCTACTTCAGCAAACACAGAGCTACTAGAGGACAGCAACAGGCAGAAAAGGTGCCTGCATATTCACTGAAAATATGAAGTCGGAAGAATATCTAACAATTCATTTTTATTTGAATTTCACTTGAATGCTTAACCTTTATTTCTTAAAAGGATAAGAATGTATAAACAGTAAAATTCAAATTCACAAAAATAACAGTTATAATTTTCTATAAATCATGCATTTATAAATTTTCCTGTAATAAACAAAATTATCTTATATCGGATGACAACAAAAACTTATTTCCATGGTGGCTATCGAAGACATTTTGTTGAAGTACAAGCACACACATAACAAAGAATAACCCAGAGACTTTAGCAACAGGCACTTGCAAAGCGTGCAACACTGTACCTGAACTGTTAGGTTGTTGCTGGTGTTCCAAACCTTTCTTTCAGCATCCTGAAATGCTCTCTGTAACCGTTGCTCCATTGTCTGAACAAATTTGCATGACTGGATATTGTCTGTTTGACCCACAAACTGCAGCTCTGGAAAAGGAACAAAGCATTTGTGTGTAGACAAAATATTCTTAGATGCATAACCCCTGTGATGTCTGACAGCAAAACAACCACTTTGCAGATTAAGCACGTGAAAACAGTGCCGTGTAAGACCATTCTAAACTAGCCCTAATTAAAGAGAAACATAATTATTAAGTTGCATTATTAAAGCGGATACTCTCCACAAACAAGTGGAGATTGTTTCTGTATGGATACGTAAGATGCTCAGACCAGTCCACTATGTACAGGTTCATTCAAACCCAGGCAGTAAGTGGAGGTCATTCTGAAACGTGTTATGCTCTTAAATCTCACAAGTCGCTCGCTCTTACAAGACATAATCAATTATAATATTGCTTCTCGTTCTGTTTGTGCTAGGAAAAATATGCTTAATGTAACTGCTGTATATATGTGCACATAAATACATAAGAACATGCAAGAAGTCTCTTTGCACTGAATACGTTGTTTTACAGGGCCAAGGCAAGGAAAGAAAGGCAGCATTCATCCTACTCTGCTGGCAGTCCTGCGGGCACTGGGAGCACAGACATGGTGCAGGTGAAACCAAGGCACACTTTGTCCTGCTGCTTCTCGCTGCGGTGTTATGCTGGAAAGCTGAGGGGGTCAGGACAGCAGGAGGAAGGACAAGCATCGCCCTTCTGCACTGAACCGCCAACCAAACACACAGCGCTGAGCCTCGGCAGGCTATCGCTCACCTGTCTTCAGCTGGAAGTGGTAGGCAGGGAGCGGCTTCCATGGCGCGGCCAGGGTTGCAATGGACTGAAGATGCAGCACGTGCTGCTTCACGTCTGCTGTGGCGTTGCTGATCCCGTAGGCAATGAGCCTTTCAATTACAGCAGCTGGTATAAAAACCACTCTCCCCCGCGTAACATAGTAACCAACCGTGACATTAGTCGATTGCTCCAGGATTTCAACCTAAAACACACAGGGAAATGATTTTTGTTTTGATTTTGTTGGCAATTCAACCGCTATATGATGGGACCTCTCATTCCAAATAAAGCTCCCTTGCAGGCTTCTTGCATGTGTCTAAAGGATCAGTGCCATACAGAGCTGGTCAAGGAGCTTACCACGGCAACTCACAGATCTCCAATTTAGGCTGAGGCTTCATTCACGTACAGATAAAAGAATGTTTTTTACTTCTGAGTATAAAAATACAGAGAATTCAGAGAACATCCAGCTTCTATTTCATTCCTGAAGTTCACTAAGTATGTCCACGTTTCTGTCATTACAGGTTTGGGGTTCTAGGTTTGAAAGACCAAAAGTTTCCCATATTTGATTCTTCAGTCTCACCTGAGTCCCCTATGCTGCTTATCCTGTAGTGCCCCAGATGGCTAAGCTACCACTGATGAGTAGAAATGACAGACCACAAGAACAAACACACTGTGAGCCAGAACATGAGTTGATTTTTACTCCACATAGAAAACCTCTATTTTTCAAAGAGTTTAAGCCTCAGAACTTGTCCTCCAAACTCAGTTACAGCCAGGGTTCCTCTATTAGAAAAATGCAGGCTCTGTCAGGTTTATCAGAAAGTGAGAGAACAGATCTGACAGTTTTTTATTGCTGCTTTTGAGACCTAGGAATATACAATTCCTAAACTCTGTAACATTACCCAAACCTTGCAGCCACAGGGCATGGGGACAAAAGTCAACCTGATGGCCTCTATTGTGAGCGAAAAGTAATTTTTTTTCCCCCTTTTTGGTAAGTGCACCTCATGTAACAGCCTGAGGCTCAGCATAAGCTCCTGCCTAACAAAAGCAGGAGCGTGTTTTACAAAAAGTACCCCAGCAACCAGCTTCAGCCTGCTCTAACACTCAGCAGCAGAGCTTCATGCAATGTTGCTAGAAAGTGACGAACGTATCTCCCTCATTTATTTTCAACAAAACATGGTCTCTCCTTGTGCAGCATTTTCATCCCTGTGGAATTGGACTTGTCAGGCACTGCATTTTCAGTGGGAGTGGACTGACAGCAGTGACATCCCATTAACTAGCCCTGCTCTTGCAATTGATCTTGCTAAGCACAGCAGCACTTGCCTGACTGCAAACCAGAGTCCTTCCTACACTGCTGGGGAGGAAGAAACTGCTGTTTGTAGGAGTTTCCTGGAACATATCAAGAAGAAAGTTGCACTTCTCCCTTCTACTTCGTCAAATTAAATGAAAAAAGTTTTGGAATGGTCCTTGTATTTTTAGAGCCCAGAGCAGGTGTTACCCATGTGTCAAAACTAATTTGGACATAATTATATATTACATACAAGTGAGGAAGCAGCCAGGAGGGGAGGTCAGAGACTCACCAGACAAAAGCAGAATGTCTGACACAATCTAGTCCCCCACCTTCTTTACAACACTGACCTCTCCACAGGATACCTGCTACTTGTCTTTGACACAGCCAAATCACTCAGATTCAGAAGGTCTAAAAGCAACATGTGATTTTTTTTGTAATCACTTATTAGGGATGTGATGGAGTAAGGTGCAGATGCTCAGGAGGGACTGTGTTACCAGGTGCTACTTGGTAAAACAAAGGCAGACAGTCTCCATGGGATTAAATACACCCAAACTTGCAGTTTACAGTAATGTTGCAGCCACCCACACAAGCACCACTGACTCTTAGTTTAAAGGTTTATTATTTCTCTTGGTGGGAGAGCTGTTTCAGTGAGATCACACAGGCAAGCCAGGCATGCTTACCTGAGCGCTGACATTTTGGTTGAAAGCTTGTCTCAGCGCTTGGTTGAGCCCTTTCGTCACGCTCTCCTTGAAGGACCTGCTGATCATCATCCTCCTTGTGTTCAGAAACAGAACTGCAAAACACCAAAAGCTACGTGTTAGTTTGAGACATTAACATCCTATTGTTTGCTTTCTCAATTCTTTTCTGTTGGGGTAGTAAAGATCATGGAGGAAGCTATCTGTGATTTGCAGCAGCTCCAATGGGAGTAAGAACTGCAGGGGCTCAGCAGCGTCCCTAAGGTCACTATTCTTCTCATGACAATGGCCCACTGTTCCACAGTGAAGTCAAACAACTGCCATTTCTTTAGCAACAGCAAGGCTTTGCAATGCTGCCTTTCTGTATGTGAGCGAGGTATGATGACACTTGATTGCCTGTGGATAGACTGCTGCAGCATTCCCAGAGGACCGAGCTGGTGCTAGGCAGGCAGGCCTCTGTAAAGGACAGGTGCTTCACAGAGTTCAACAAAGAAATGTTCTTCACTGCTACAACTGCTTTCAGTTTGCCAACTGTCTTTACAGCTATTTGTACACTTTGTTTATTAACAGTTTCACTAACTTTTATTATTTGCAGAGTTTTACAGCTGCACTGATGTATTTTCAATCATATATTGTGTACATACTACTTCTGTCTTAAAAAAAAAAATTGTTGCATCTACTGTCATACTGATACAGGCATTTATCGGCTACTAAAACCACATTACATCAAAAAGCTGCTTATTTCACTGTCCTTCAGTGTCATTCAGGTTTATACAGCTTCATAAACCCTTTTATGACTCTTCTTTGTTCTGATCTTCAAGACAAGCATCTTCTGATGCCACCAGGAGTGCATAGGAAGACTGGGCAACCTCTCCAGACCCCCTTAGTCTAGAGCTGTTAAAATTAAGGAGAAGCTGTCTGTGAAAAACACTCTTAGAGCCATAAGAAGTCGTGCTGTTCACACAGACAGCTCAAAATCCTCCCATTTTGAATTGCACAACTTTAAAGATCTATTTGAAAATAACTTGGTATTCAACGGTACAATTAGGCACAAAATAGGGATCCTTCAGCAAACTCAGTGGCCCCACGTACCTGTTTTAACCATAAGGTTCCAGGAGAGGCGGCAATCCAGGGGAGGAGCTGCTGTCATGTTAGCGAAAGCCACTGCTGCTGTTGTTTCTGGAGGAGCAGAAGTGTTTTCCGTTCGAGTAGGGGGAAGCCTAGTGGTTTTCGCTGATGCTGTAATAGATGTCAAAGCTGCTGTAATTGTCAGTGGATACGGGGTTGACGTTTTGGTGATTTCTGAGCTTAGGAATTTCTGGCTGTCAGTGGCTGTTGTTTTTATCTGTCGTGGTATGTGTGCTGTGGGTGCGAGCGTGGAAGCCATGGCAGTGCTACTTTTAGGGGTTATAAACATAGCTGTCATGTCCACAGGTGATGCGGCTGTGTTTCCTGTTGCAAAAGGAAGATCGGCATGTATTCCTACCGAGCTCAGGACTGAGGTCAATTTTGTGGCAGTGTTGTTTTTTGTTAGTGTCAGTACCGGAGTGTTTAAAGCCATCACAGATGGCAAAGGTGTGTTCGCAGTGCCGAGCGAAAAGAAGGAAGAAGCTGGCACTGGTGAAGCTGGAGATGATTTCCTTGTTAGTGGTTTTGCTTCTGAAGTTCCTACTGTAGGTAGTGCACCAGAAGACACTCCAGATAACACTGTAATGACAGAATGGGTAAAGTTGGTTGTTGACAAAAAAGCAGAAGTTAGTTGTGTTGGTGATGGATGGACAGAAGTTATGATGACTGACTGCAGAGGACTGATGGCAGGGGGTTGCAATGGCATGCCCTCGGTAGCTTTATTAGATATGCTAAAGGGAACTAGACTATGCCTTGGAGGATTTGTGTCCCACTCCTCCACGCTAAATGTAGCTGGAATGTTACCAGCCACAACCAAATAACCAGAGGACTCTAATTGGTTATCAAGAAATTCTGGCAAGCTTCCAGAACTGACATCTTCTTCTGTAACAAAACTCTGTAAGAGCTGAGCTAAAAGGCTTAGTTACAGGAAGAGCAGCCTTGCTTGGCAGCACGCCGTAGGCAGCACCGATTTCGTAGCTAGCCAAAAGAGTCGAGTTGTCAATGAGGTGAAAAGCCAGCACTGGTGTTGTGCTCAAGGTTTTTGTGAGCACAGTGATCTTTCCAGCACTGGTTGTTTGTGATTCTAGAGAGCTGGGGACAACACCTGTATCGTTAACATAAGGCATGTGTGACTGGAGCAGTGCTTCATCCTGTGCATGGGTAGTGCTGTCCCCAGTGGTGAACAAATTAATAATGTTTTCAGCTATGTTTCCATGCTTTTTCTGCAAGGTGGTGGGGAGTGGCAAAGTGGTAGCAAGGGGTGAATACTGGACAGAGGATGGTTGCAGTGCAAACACATCTCTATCAAATTCTGAACCACTGCTCATTTTTGCTCCAGAGAAGGGTAAATTTGAACCGCTTTGACCAGACATTGCGTGTGTGTGTGTGCTGCTGCAGGGGCAGAGGAAAGTGGTTGCTTATTTGTACTCATTTCCTTTTGCAGGCCCGAAACAACTGCATGCAGTTCACAATACTCAGTTTCCAATGGAGAAGTGCTTGGAGGAACTTCTCTTACTGCCGGTTTGACTGAAACGTTAATGCCATCTGAGGACAACAACACCGTCTTGGTCCATGTCGAAGCTGAAGCTGCGACTTCAGGAGCGTTGATGGGATCTAAATTACTCTCAGAGGTTGCACTTGAAATCCCAGAAAAAGATGAGCTCTGGCTGCCTCTCCTTGTTGTCGTGGAAACAAATGATGGCACAGAAGGCACAACGGAGGTGAGCTGCTTCACAGCAACTGAATGTGGAGCCTGACCAGAGGTAAAATCAGACTGATCTGAAGCTCTTGGTGGTGAATATTCTGTATGTAGGGTTACAACAGTGGGTACTCTCATGCTTCTGTCTTCGTGTGCAGGTACGCCTGGATTTTCTGCATTAGCAGGTGGCAGATGTGCAGTCACAGAGACAGTAGTAGCAGATGTATTCCTCAGAGCAAGTTCAGTTTTCGAAAGGCCTCTAATGGCAGTAATTAATGACACTGCAGCTAGACCAGGACTAATCATTTCTGTGTCCAAAACAGGGCCCGCTGTCTTTGATCCTTTGGAGACTTTACCGATTTGGCTATCCGCAGAAACTTTGGAAAGCTGAGATCCATCAGGCAGAACAATATTAGCATTAAAGTTTGTGGACAGTTTTGCCGTCACCCCTCTTGTGAGAACCTGTTGACCTGTTCTCGTTGAGGGAGAGCCATCAGAACGTGGGAGAGTACATGCAGAAGCAGCTGGCAATAGCGTGCCATTTGATTCATAAGCTCCATTAGTGAGGTCTTCTGCAAAGGTCTGACTGAGAGCCACCACTGAGCGAGGGAGTTGTAAACTACCCTCACTGGCTGCTGCCGTGCTTGGACTGTTTGTGTGTGCTAACCTAGCAAAGGTCTCATTTGTCTCAGTTAGCAAGGGAGACCTTGTGCTTGTTGAAGAGGAGCGTGTTGCATTTCTAAAAAGAAAAGCTGTCTCACTTCTAAATACTCGTCCTGGCAGCACTGCATCGTGAGCGTGCTTTGCATCAGGAATAAGTGATTTTGGCAACAAATGGGAAAAAATGCTCTCTGTTGAGCTAGAGACCTCAGCCAGGCTCTGGGAAGCTGAGGACACAAAAGGTGCACTGGCAGAGCCTGTAGTGCAATTAGTCAGTGCTGTGGAAGACTGAAGGTGACTCATTCGGGGCATTGTATGTGGAGTACCCACAGGATGGAAGAACGATGCAAGAACCTCTGCTTTATTCTGAAAAACTGGTGAGGACAGAGGGGTGATATCACTATTTCTGTCAATCAACAGCAAATTAAGTGGCTCATTATTAGGTTTTACTCCGGTAGGAGATGCATTATGCATACTTCGATTTGGAAACCATGACACACTTCTGGAAGTTACTGGCATGTAAGACTGATACAGTATTTTTGACACAGGAGTATCTGAGTATACAGATAAAAAAAGAGGTCCTTTCTGAAGGAAACTCTTTTTCCACTGTTTTTGTAAAATGTACTGTTGACAATCCAGAGAAACTGAAAGACATGGTACTCGTAAACAACTCAGGACCCTTTCTTTGATTCACCGTACTAGAATTTCCATCAGTGACCATGCTTAAAAGACTATTTCTGCTTTCACTAACCTGAGAGCTGGTTGAATCTGTGCTGAAGGAACTTTCGGGCTCTGCAGACAAAGGAACTCTGAAGGCCAGTACAGCTGATTTAGAAAAGTTAATGGTATGAAGTGACTGTATTGCCAATGAAGAAAATGATGGTGATGGAACAGCAGCAAGCATGCCTGGTCCTGATGTGCTTTCTTTTGAAATGGAGGGTGTTTCTAATGGCATTAGCTGAAATGGCCCGGCTGTACTCAAATGTGTCATTGATGGTGTAGTGGACAATGTGGCAAACATACTGAGTTGAGGCAAACCTGATTCACCAGCTGTTTCATCTGCATCTTGAGATGACGACCTCAGAGACGACTCGGCAGAAACTTCAGCGGGCTCCTGGGATGCGCTATTCCCACTGCCTTGATAGAGGGTGGGTGACAGGTGACTTTGATCCAAAGTTCTGGTCCGTGTGCCCGTCAGGGTTGTTTTTATCATCTGAAGCAAGTTTGCGTTCTCCAAAGTCTGCCCCATAGAAATATCAGCTACTGAGGAAGTCTTAGTTTCTGTGGAAGGCCGTGTTGGTGATAGTATAGATCTCCAGTTCGGAAAAGATTCTGATGAAGAAGCAATGTAGATACGCTGTTGCCTGATACCTGTAAAATAATAACCAAAATGAGCATGCAGTTCTGCAAAAGGAAAAGTTACTGCTATGTGGCTGCAAGAAATCAGCACAAAGCGCATTGTTTACTAAAAGCAGGTGCTTCTTTTTTATTCAAAACGACAAACATCCAGAGAAAACTGAAAAAGACAGTGAAAGGTTTCAAGCGATAGGTTATAAATCCCTCAAGGTGTTTCACCTGACAAAAGGATAGGGCTAGCTTTCTAGACAGGACTATTTCAAAATGCTACTTGTAAACAGTAGCTTTAAAAAGCTACTGAAAGGCACCTTCTTAAGCATGGGACAACTTCTGAGGTTATGATCCTGTCAAAATATTCCGTGAGAAGGTGGCTTTAGAACACGGTGGAAAGGGGATGGGTTTTGACCACCAAGCGTCACTGGCTTGGCAAGCCATCTCATGTGGGAATCGAGTCAGCACTGGCTGGGTTCCTGCAGGATGCATCTGGAGGTGCTCGTCTTGCCAGTTCTAATAACGCATGCAATTACGGACACAAAAGAAAGAAAACAAAACATGGGTGAGCACGAGGAAAGGGGGGTAAGATCCAAAACAAAATTAGCAAATTGAATTCTTTTTCTGATCTGTGCAGATGTACAACGCATCGTTTCAAACACCAGTTTGTTCTACATTCAACACCACAATGTTCCTAGGCTTTGTCTTCTTAAAATGATTACAGTTCTTCTAAAATCACAGCTTGGGAAATCTCAAATTCTCGCTAATTTCAAGATTAAGATTCAATCAAGAGTAAAATGTCAGTTCTTTATCCTCCCTCCCCCCCCAGCCAAGATAATAGATCAAAAATCAGTCTTGGCTCTCGCTTCTGCCCCCGGCTATGCCCACTTACACAGCTGAGCAAAGGCACAAAAGAGCTGAAGTCCCTGCCCTCTGACTGCAGCACATCTGGATATAGACAGAGGGTACCAACCTCCTCCGCACACATATGAGTAACTCCAGCGCAATGGCATGGAAGAGGAAGCAGGGACAGCCCCTGAAACACACGGTTATAAAATGGGCTGGGCAGCAGTTCCAGCCACCAACAGGCCCTGGCAGCAGAGCCACAAGCAGTGGAGGGGATTAGCCCGTGCAAACGGGAGCCGGCAGCTGAACACCACGCAGCACGAGAGAGGAAAATGGGTCACACTGCACCTATTTAAAGGTGTGCTTCTTCCTTGGGCTGCCCTTGTGCTACGCTGCTCGTGATCTGGGCATGCAGGCCAAAGCAGTTGGCTGGACAAGCCCCTTCAGGTGCCTGGGTGCAACAGGAACGTGCTTGAAGGTACTTAACATGCTCAGCTTGGCATTCCCACTCTGCAAATGCAATAAATAAATAGATAAATATTCACAGATCTTCCTCTTTACCCCTGTATTGAGAGCTGTATAGGCTGTGGGGAAGCTAGGCGCTTTTTTTTTTTAACCTTTTCTTCACCAAAATGCAAGAGTGAATGCAGAACCCAGAAGCAGATTGTTGGCTGCTGATGTGCCCTCATGGGACCCGAGAGCTCAAGGGCTGGAGTAGCTTAGACTAAGCTCTGGTGGCTTTTCCTTCCTTGTTGTGGTCAGACAGCTTGTTATGGAAGGCAGGAAATAAGACGACACACATTTGGCTGAACCAGAGTAGATTCCAACAGATGTTTGAAATTGAGAACTAGACGCTGTGCTTGGAAAAACCAGGCCCTAGACAAGCTGCAGCTTAGATTCCTCTGAAGTAGCTCAGCTGATGAAGCTGCTATTACCGGATCTGTTGAGTCCCAAACCACCTTGTTCCACCTCCGAACCAGAAGGCTGTGCTGAAAAGGGAAGGCAATTTTCCTGTTTATGCCCGTTAATGAACTAAAGCCCTTGAGTAAACAGAGGTTTAAAGCATTATTCATATTCTGCAACTAAGATAAAGTACTGGCTTTCCACTGCTACAGATTTTATTCTGTGCCTGCCTAGAAGTTGAAGGTGATGCATACATAAAATTAATGATGTATTGATTTTATCTGGAAAAAGAAGTCTCCATTGTTACCTATCTTCTGCTCCTCAGACATCCAAGTTGCTCATTGCTCTTCATACAGTGTAAATTATTTCCTGGGAGACAAGTACTTGGTAAGTGAACATCCCCTGGTAAAAGCAGTAGCCAAGGAAAATGCCAGTCCATTTGCCATACCTATAAAATCAGCATGTGAAGAGAGAAAATTGCACCTGTGCTGCTGACACTGGAAACCAAGGTCCTGTTTGCCTTATGCCACGAGAATCCAAAGATGTATAAACGGGAAAAGTTACGAGTTAGTTCCCCCTAGATCACACGAGAAGCTTGTTGCTCCCTACAAAACAAGTAATTCCTCTTCTCTGGACAGAGGGCTCAGGAAGACCATTCTCTGCCGGGGGATGATCTCTGCAAGAGAACAGGAGCAGAGCTGCGATGCTCTCTTTTCTCTGGCAAGCTGTTGCACCACTGCTGCAATCCCTGAGCCGTGGGAACAACTCCCAGCACTCCTCCTGCTCCCCGCCACCCCCAGGTTTCATTTTCATTCAGGCCCAGGAAGGGCATGTCCCTGTTGGACATCTCGCACCCTCTGTTCAGGGCTGGCCAGCACGGGGCAAGCCGCAGGGGAGCCTGCAGGACCCCAGCAGCGAAGCTCCTCTGAGGACAGGAGCAGGTAGGTCTTTTTTTTTTTGCTCACTCCACAATTTCTTCTTTCAGGAAGATTTGAGCACCCCCCCTTCACACCCAGACTTTCCTCGGGGCACTGCGGGCAATCCGCCGGCCGCAGAGCCTCACATCCAAGGCAGCCTTTCACCCACGGACTTGGAAGCAGAATACACTTGTCCTGCACCCAGCATTGCTCGCTGGTGTTTGGGAGAGCAGAGCCCAGCCTGCACACGCTTCACGGCTGTCATCAGCCTCGCTGTAGGAGCTGACAGCCGGCTGCGACTCGCAGCAAGTGCCAGCCTTGCCGGGGGGCGAAACGCGTCCCCTCTGCGGCAGGCAGCGGGGACAGGGTGACAGCAGGATTAGAGGCAAGCTACATCACCATCAGCACACTGCTTGTCTATTTGTTTGTAAATACACGTTCATCCAGGCTTTTGGGAAGAACACGCACCTGTTCAGGGAGGTTTATCCACACGCCATCAGCGCAATGAATGATTTCGTGACCAATGTAGGAAACGGAACTGTTTCAATTCTTGGGGAGCGAAGCAGCAAAGTAGGGGAAATGTGGACTCAGCACAGCTTTTCACCACTAGCTACAAGTCAACGACAGCACAGCTCTCATTGCACGCAACAAAAAGGCCTTTTCTTAACCATATACTCCTTTACCAAAGCTTAGAGTTTAACCCTGCCTCAGAAATCAAACAGGAGAGAAGACTGAAGGTACTGAAAGAACCGCTGCTAAAAGCCGTGTGTGTTATTCTTGTAACAAAACCACCCATCATCATCTCCAGAACTTTGAAAAAGAACGACAACGCTTTCAAAAGGTTGAACTGCGCAGCAAATTATACACTAGGATGTATTTTGACAGGCCGCTTGGGTAATTGTGAGCATTCCCTGGAGCCAGGAAGCTTTCTTCCAACACCGGTGTGCAGATGCAGAGTCCTGGCCCCCAGGGAGAGCTGCAGGAGCGCCTCGAGTTGCTGCCACTGTTGGGTGAGCTCTGTGCCCCTCCGCAGGCTGCTCGCCCCACGGATCAGCAAGCCGAGGAGCAGAAGCGCTCGGCTCGCTCCACGTTATAGATCAAAGGCTGTTTGGGAGAAGAAAACGAAATCCAAGAACTGTTGAGCATCACAGCACCGGCTGTACTTGGTCCATGTGTGTAGCAGAAGCACGGGCCTGAAACTGAGCATCGTGTGGCTGCACCTAGACAGTCACAACACGACCTCTCACCAAAGCTCCAAGCTATCCCTGGAAACTAGCTGCAAAATCAATTTTCATTTGAACTGCTATTTTCAGAAGTATACTTTATGAGTATATTTTCAAGATTACCCTTCAAGTTTTCTTTTAAATTATGTATCCCTGAACAATGTCATCAGAACTCCGAAAAGGAGACCAAGAAGTTGCAAATCAGCTACTGCAAAAGGCCCTACAGCCCTAAAACTGCTCCACTTTAACTTATTTCTTTAATTTCAGAGCTTTGCAATTGAAACTTCGTAACATAGAGCAGCTAAGCTTCCTTAAGGAATCTTTCCTTAGGATTCTGACCATCTTTCAGTCCTGGAGATGCCCCAGCTACAGGATCAGCCCAAGGACAGAGGTTCCCACCGTGTCTCCTGCTACTCCCAAGCTCCTTCCACCGCCTGTGGCCTGAAGGTAAGCAAGGATAAAGAGGTGAAGGGCAGGAAAGAAACGTAGGTCACACACAGGAGCACGCTGCTCTCTCTGCAGCATTCCCACTGCATGCTTCAGTACTGCTCCGCTGGGCGTGCTTTGAAGGTACGAAGTCACAGCTCTGGCAGATCGATGGCATCCTTTTGTTTTGGGGGTTAGAAGAATTGCTGGTCACTCCGAGCTAAGTGTCTTTAAAGATCATTCAATATTTGAAGGACAGTGAACAACATCTTTAAAAAAAATGCAACAGGATAACAGCCAAGCCTCAGACATTATTCTGTGTGCAAGGGTTGTAGTAAATAACCAGCATTTATCCAGCCTGGAATACAGTGCAATTTCTGAAGCCAACGAAGCCAAATCTATTGCTTGGCCACAGAAGGCAATGAGGTTCCATCAGCAGATGCAGAAGACCACTACGATGAATGAGCTAATAGCCAAACCCTGAGCCAAAGCGTGACACATGCTTCTTCGGAGGGAAATCCTCTTTACATGAATGAATGAGACTACAAACATAAGCTCTTGCTAAGAGAGAGCCCACGTAGAGCTGTATGTTTTTATTTTTTTTTCTTAGATTAGGGAAAAAAAAAAAAGAAAAAATCTTTTCCTGAGCTGGCTTGAAAGCCCTGAAAGCAAGTAACAGCCCAGAGAGCTGCTGCTTAAGGTGTTATGT